TTAACTCCTATTATGTACACACATTTTTGCCAGGGAATTTAAATGTGTCCACTATTAGGAAGGGTCCACTATTGAGAGGTCCCAATTAATAGAGGTTTCATTTCAACGATAAAATAAATTAATAACTATGAAAAGTAATTGTTAATTGATTTCATACTTTCATCGTCATATCATAATATTCACATGGGTATCTGTATATATCTAATATTGCCCTGTTTTATACTCGACGAAGTTTTATTTAAAAAAGAAATAAAATAATAATTCAATACAGTTGGACTATGCTCGGCTCAGAAACGTGAAAAAGCCGTTAGAATATCAAGGTTAACGAATTCGGCTCAAATATGAATAAAATCCTCTGAGCACATCGAGACAATCGTTGGCTCATGGTTTTCGGTGCTCGTAAGCGAAAAAATTCAAGTCAAGCTGCTCAGTTCAAAGCTTACGCACGCGAGCCGCTCGATCAATGCTCACTCGTGCTCGCGCTCATGTAGCGATGTGTAAACGTAGCTATGTGAGAATTCTGTCCATTTTTCAAGTCACTTCAAAAATTTTTTACTGAATTACAACAAATTCGTCTTTTTCTGATTTTTTCTGAAACATTATGAAATCAAAAAATGACTTGCACCATAAGAAACAAGATGTACAATGAAACAAAAATGGTTTCTTGTCATTTTTCGATTAAAGCAATTTTCCTAATATTAAAATTTTCCGTATTAGTGTAAAATAATGATATCATCAAACAGTAAGTTTTTTCTACGTTTCTTCGTTATTTATGCCCAACTAACAGCAAAAAAACCCCCAAAAATTATAATTCCTTAAAAACTCATAACTGGCTCAAAAGTTTTGACGATGAAAATAAATGAAAAGGTGTCTTGTGATTTTTCGATTAAATCATTTTTTTCTGGTAGAAAAAGTCGTCCGTGTTTTCATAAAATAATGAAATCGTGAAATTGCAAGATTTCCTACGTTTTTCCCAAGCTCGGAATCTAAAATCGTTATTTTTAAAATATATATTACATGAAATTCACAAAATATTTCAAATAAATGGTTTTTAAAATATTTACGAAATAATTTAAAATTTTTATTTTTTATAGTATTTTTAAAATATCTACTTATTTGACTTAAATATTTACGTTTTCAATTATTATTAAATTATTTATTAGATAATATTTATAAATCTCTAAATATTTAAAATAAATGGTTTTTAAAATATTTACGAAATAATTTAATATTTTTATTTTTTATAGTATTTTTAAGCTATCTACTTATNTATAAATAATATTTGTTCTTACCATTTTAAATTCCCGAAATTCTATCAAGTTAACGTTTAAATATAATATAATAGAGAAACACAGTCGGTTTTATAGAAAAATGTTGCTGCTATGGTATTTATTTAGCACAGTTACAAATGTGTGGTGCAGCAAACACAGTAGCATTTTTTTATTTGAACATACTCCACGTATTATAAACAATAATATATTTGTAATAGATACAATGTACACCGAAAATATTAATTGGGAATCAAGTTATTGTGTAATATTAGAAAACTAATTTTACTATTACTATATTATCATTAAACTAATTTGATATTTCATAGAATAACGTAAACGACGTATTGATGCCGTGTATATCAAAAGTACGCAAATGTATTGCTTTAATGTTACAGTTATGGTCACCTGACAGCATGCATGTATCATTTGTTACACTCTGTGCACATGTGGAATACCCAATACCCATGCTGTATAATAAAGTAACATGTCTCTGCATAAGTACACAAAAAGATTTTTACAAACGTCGAAAATAAATCAAGAAAATAAACCATTTATATTTAGTTGTTATTGTATCAAATAATAAATTACATTGACCCATAAATCATAACCTACACATCAGATTAAAAATATATTCGCATTATGTAGGTAGTAAAATAAATGTACGTCGATGAACATATTTTTGTTCGTTTATTGTAATACAGGGGCGTATTCAGACCTTGAATATTAGTGGGGGGGGGGGCGAAATAATTAAATTTAATATTAATGATTTATAAGAAAATACAAATATATTGTACTAATACAGTAAAACAGTATGATTTAAAAGTTGAATTTAATTTATTTTAATAAATAAATAATAATTAAAATAATTATAATATGAATAAAAAAAAAAAAAATAATAATAATAATTATATAATAAAAGTTGAATGACCAAGTCCAAAATAACCCTTATTTTTAAGCATCATTTTGCGAGCGATTTTACTAATTTAACTAATTTAACTAATTTTACTAAAAAATTATGGATATTTTGTACAACAAAAAAGAACATCACACGGCTTATAAGGAGGAGCGATCGCCCCCTCGCCTCCCTCGTAACCATTACCTTCCCTCTCAGGGACGCACCTGTTATAATAGATAGAAATATGTATTTAAAGAATTTTAAAAATAATTCAATGGTATTTGGAATCCTGAAGTTAAAATTGACTGTTAATAATACCTATGCCATTCGTTATTACGTCGACAGAGTGTTTAAATTTAACAATAACCAGATTCTGGTTTCAGATTCTGATTCAATTCTATACTTTTTAGTATTCTATTTATTACAAGCAGTTGCGTATCCTGCAGGAATATTATCGTCTACTCTCTATTCTCACTCCAACAAAAGCCTTGATTGATTAATAGTGAATACAGGATATGATGATGGAGGACGGGAGTGTTAAAAATGCATCCAAGGCATACATTGAAAATATATCATGCTTAAAGTATACTGAAGCGAATAGTATATTAAAGAAAGAACGAATATGAAGGGAATGATCGCCATACATCGATCACTCTGAAAACACCTTTGTGATTAACTTACTAATATTCATAGCTTTAACATAATTCTTCCTACAAGATATACCACGGATTTTAATATCAAAAAAGTGTAGAATTAAATAGAAACAAATTTTACACTTCATTTTAATATATTATGTTTTAAAGCAAAATTTAACTTCTTGGGTATTTTTTGAGGTGCTCAAGACCCTCTAATATCCAGAGGATATATGCACAACCTGAGAGTTATGCCTATGAGTCTATTGTATGCATAATATTTTGGAATTAACCTCAAATCAACCCCCCCCCCTTTTATATACCTATCCCCTTGTTGTTTCAAATACGGGTGAATATAAACTGTTTAGATATTTAAACACTCGTGTTCACTAAAACTTTGTTCATTGTTCATAGACGTCTGCCAGTACCGTAGCTAATTTTCTATTTATTTGTGGGCGGGGGGGTTATCATTTTTAAATAGGCTATAATTTTATAGGGTGATAAAATACACAGGGAAACACTTAAACAAAAAAACGGGGGTGCGTGTGCACGCCTTCTCCCTGCCAATGGTTTCCATCTATTTAGAGGAGCTTAAAATACCTATTTCTAAAATGTCCACTATTTCGAGCTGTCACTTAATAGGTATATAATATGTTTAAATTGACTTGATAACTTATATAGTTATAAAGTCATCTCTTCTCAACAATTACGAAGGTTATTTAGTTCTAATGGGCGTTAGGTGAATTATGTTAGGTTATGCAGGGTCTCAGGTTTAATACACAGTAGTGGAAGGAACAAGATTTCAATTTTCGCATTTTCATTTCTTGTGATTTCGTAAACAATGTTGTTTTATGAACGATTTGGCGGTTTTTGGTAATAAACAATTCATAAATGTTGTAAGGATGTTAAAAGTGATGTTTAAATTATGTTGTGACATTATTGCTGTGGAAATACCATCACAGGGATGTTAAACGTACTTATATGCAACGCGATTTATGATATTCCATGCTTCATCAGGAAAGTTCTTATTAACATTTCCGAGACAAATAATTGGATAGTGGAAAGGTGCCAAATTTGTTGAATTATAATACGGTAGAAGAGAAATACAATTTTCTATTATAATGACGCGATTCAGAATACATATTTTTGATGTACAAATCTTCTGTACACATTGTATTTGTTACAAATGTATTATTATTATTATCATTTATGATACGTCTGGCGTTAGATGACAAAATTCTACTGTATTTACTGTATTACATATTGTAACTTTGCTAAATAAATATTATAACAGCTTCATTTCAGCTAAAAAATGGTTATATTTTTTCATTTTTTTAAAACTTTAACTTGGTTGAATTTTGAAAATTCAAAAAACTAAGGTAGTTAAAAAAGTTTTGATACATTCGTATATAAAAAATTGTAAATAAAATGTATAATTGTTTATTATAAGTAACGGGTCAAGTGGATTGTGGATTGTGATGGTCTATAATGTTAGCACCCCCAAGGTTGGTGGTCTGGTTGTGTCCAAGGGCACCCATTGAAGGGGATAAGGGAGGGAAATGTTCCTCCTGGAAAATAATATAGTATGCGAAAATAATTACATATGCTTTGAATTCATATACTCGTTTCATATTTAATACTTTTAATAATTCAACAGTTGATATCATATTATCGACATAGGACTTATACTAAGTATGGATACCATAGAATTTTGCTTAATGCGTATCATTCAATCAGTGAACCAGGGTTGTTAGATTGTTTATTTTATGTTCGTATAATGAGCTCAAAATTCATATACAAATCCTAATATACAATAATAATAGATACCTATGTCCTATGATATAACTCAATACCCGAAATAAGAAATACCACTGGTACTATCAAAGAGATTATAACATGTTTCGGAGAGAGCATTTTAAGGAAAAATACCTAATCTAACCTAACCTAACATACCTTTATTCTGTGAAACAGATCTGAAAAATATTAATGTAGAAGATAATTTAACAATAATTTCATTAAAATTAAAACAGCTCTTGAAGAATTATCTTCTGCCAAATATGTGAATGTTACTACAAGGAACCATTCATATTAACTTGTATCAGCTACAGCAAATAGAGGTTTTATAATTAGTTTAAAAATAATTGCTCATTATTCTACAAAATTAGAACCTATTATCAATAAATTACAAAGTATACCGTATATAACTCCATACTGTGCATATCTTTGTTAAAAAAGAATTTTTAGAAATACCTGTTGAGAAAACACAGAGAAGATAATGAAGAGTATTTTAAAAATATTTTTAAGGAGATTAATAATACAGCCGATAATTTTGATATAAAACTTAACCTACCAATCGGTCGTCAAAGTGAAGTGATTATTGGCAATCAAAATAAAAAAAAAAAGAAGTGTGAGAGTAGAACGAGTGCGGTCACTGGTGTAGGTGGGAAGTTGGGAAGGTAGGATACAGACGGGAGTATAATGTATATCTGTAAGCAACGATAAACCAATGCTTACGAAAAAACGATTCTGAGCGGAGTTCAGTAGATAGTGATGCTTTGTTAACAATATATATACTATATTATAGTAAAAATAATTAAATAAGCTTTGTATATTTTCTTTAATAATATTTGTTTAATATTGTACCTATTTTTCCGTTTTTTCTTCGTTTTTTTCCGGTTTTTCCCATTAATTGGGAAAAAATTTCTGAGAAAATCAAAAATGACCTTCCTTAAGTACTACACCAGTTAGATTTTCTTCCCAAAAAAATAATTGGACTATCGGAGAAAAATTGCTGGTAGAAAAGTTGTCCACAAAAATAAAAATAAATAAATAAACATCCTTGTAAAACCAAACATTTCTGCCTTCACTTAAAATCTAAAATTAAATCACAATGTTTATATTGGTATTCCAGATCTTTTTGAAAAAATAAATCCATTGCCATCAAAATCCTTCCTGCTGAAATAGGCATTTCGTGTTTCATTCCATTCGAGGAAAACACACTGCATAGAAACGCAGTAAACGAAACAAAAGGTTATAGAACAGAATTTCATATGATGGAAGCCGAGTTTAACATCAATTTACTTATGACCAGAGCAACTTATTTCCCAAGAAAAATATGTATATAAAATGTATAATAATAAAAATTTGATGATGAATGTGAGCGGAATAATGCCAAGAAAAATATTATTTATATATATATATATACATACGTAACACTGCCGAGTTGTATACATAAATCAAGTTAACTGATGTACCATAAAAACTTCACGGATACACGTTATGTTAACACGGGTATATAATAATAATAATATGTTATTTCCCGAAAGAATAGAGCCGCAGCCCGAGACATTTCACCCGCTTTATATTTTATTAATACTATTCTATTAAAAAAAAAAAAAAAAAAAATGTTATACTATATTTGCCATAAGGTCAAGGTTAATGATTTTTAGAATAATGTTTAGGTATTTATTTATTATTGTTTATATTATCTTATCTATATTTATTCAATACAATTACAAAACAATACAAATACATGTATAAACCGTACATAAAGTTAAGGTTATGAGTATGAAATATATCCTTGACATTTTCACATTTGAAATATTTGAAACGAAAGGACTAAAGATAAATAGAAGTAAATCGGAGTATGAATTTGGTAGGAAGCAAAGAGGTGGAGAGAAAGGACCGAAAAAAAAGTGGTTGGATGTCATTGAGAAAGATATGAGGAGAGACGATGCACGCAAAGTGGGAGATCGGGTCAAGTGAGTGTTTAGAACGAGGGTGGTCGAGCCCAAATAGTTGGAATGAAGGCAAAGGAGAAGAAGAACAGGAACAGTGTCAGTTATTTTCGATCAGGTGTTTTTTTATTGTAATTAGGTTTAAAATATTGAGAGGCAGATGACAACCCTGCCCCTCTCCTCCATACGCACGCCTATGGCTATGATAAAAGTTATCCGCATTAAACACATTCTGTTGAAATTAAATTATACATGTTTGAAAAATACCTAAAAGAAACACATTGCCAGTATACTTTTCAATTAAAATAAATGTTTAAGTTCCATAAATCTTTAGTTTTAAAACATTTTAAATTTAATCTAGTCAAAGTATTAACATAAAATTGTGATCATCAAATTGTTATCAGGGCCCTAATAACATTGTGTATGCATATTCAAATTTAACCTAATACTTCTAACACTACAAATTACAATCCACCTATTAAATTCCCGAGTTTTAAGTTTGACTCAGAGAGAACCACTAAAAGCAGGTATTTGAATACCTATACTTGAGTATGGCGAGAGTAAGATAAACACAAAGCAATCATTTTTTTTATTTTCAGAGAAAATCTAACAAAAAATTATAATAGAAAAAATACATTTAATTCGACTTCAATAGTAAAATACACCTATGGCATATATGCAATAATAATTTAATTGCATTTCACCGGGAAAATGTTGATCAACGAATAATCACATTTCGTAATACACATATTACTAACAATTATAATAACGATAATTGTGGTAAGCACAAGAAATATATAATATTTATATTCAGTCGGACTAATACAATTTCCAAAAAAGAGCAGTACAAAGAGTGTGATTGATAATACAAATTTATAATAATGTTAAAATCTATGTACCATTATCTATTTGAGTCGCGATTTTAGCAAATTAAACATAGTAATTGTGTAATAGGGAATATAAAATCGTAAGTATAAAAAACAATAATGTTACAGATGTATGTATAAAAGTTCCATCGTTATAAAACGAATTGTATACAAGAATCGTAAAAAAAAAATAATAGTACATAATAATATTATATTCATATAATAATAATAATAATAATAATAATAATATTTTAGTTTAAAATGAGCGATATTGGTTTGTTCGAGAAATATTTGGACCGTGTATTATACATACAAGGACGTCCATCTTGACAAATCCGGGGGGGAAGTGTATTACTCGTAACTGTATTTTTCAATGATGTTGACGTTTTTTGTTAAACGGTTTATATTTCTTTCGTAAGTACGGAAAAAAACCAAGGACATTCTCCTTGCCCTCCCCCCCTCAATGGGCGTCCATAACTACATACACGACTATTAATAATCGTTCATTTTAAATACTATTTTATCACAATTATGTATAAAAAAAAAAATCTAAAAGTCTCTACGGAAAAAACGATACTTACGCATCGCATGTACCCAAAAAAAAAAAAAAAAAAAAAAAAAAAAAAAAAAAAAAAAAAAAAAAATAATAATAATAATAATAATAAATAAAACGATGAATGTAATTAAATAATTCGTACACGTCGTCGTCGTACTAAACGCGCCGAACAAATATCTGGCCTGAATGGAGAGGGCGTTGTTCGAGGTAGACCAGTACCGGATCATCTCCGGAACGATACGTTGTCAAAGACTTCGGTGGTAGAGGCTAAATAGCTAGTTGGCTGAGGTGACGCCGAAGCGTCGGTGGCCGTAGAAATGGCGGACCAGCCGTCCGTAGAAACGCTGTCGGTGGACTTGGGCGTGTCGTTGGACTTCACAGGGGTATCGGACTTGGGCGAGACGGCTGCAGTAGCGGCCGCCACAGAGGCATCGATGGTAGGCCCACCCGAGTACGACGAGAAGAACGTCAGCGCCTTCATCAACTGATAGCTCTTCGATATGGGGATGTTGCTGTCGTACAACTTCTCGGACGATTTGCAGTCGACGTAAAACCACCAATTACACTTGAGTATGGTCTGGTCGAACAATGTTGATTCAGGGCATAGGAAGCTTTTCTGCGTCAGGCCGTCGTCGGTGAACGCGCACACATGAAAAACCTGTAAAAAAAATAAATATGTAAACATCATACATTGAAATGTTGAATTGAAGTGTAAAAGTCAAAAACACACAAATTGTATAAGACATTTTAGATTCTGAGTTTAATGAAGAATGTTATTGGTACTACGAAGATGTTTATTTTTTTATATAATGTGTATAAGAATTTTACCAGAAAGCTTACGCCGAAGTATACAATATAGGCCTTTTTCCAAAAGAAAATTATCTTGGGGTGGTACTTTAGAGAGGTCATTTTTCGATTTTCCCAAGAGTTTTCCCATCAAATGTAAAAACAAGAACGAGAAAATCGGTATAATATTAAAGAAAATAAATAATGCTTATTTAATTATTTAATATTTTACTATAATATATATTGTTGACAATGCATCACTATCAACTGAACTCCAATCAGAATCGTTTTTTCGTAAACAATGATTTATCGTTGCTTATATATTGCCTATATAGATATACATTAAATTCCCTTATGTATTTTACCTTCCCAACTTCCTATCGACAACAGTGGCTGCACCCGTCCCCATTATTCTTGGACAACTATTTTTTTCTTTTATCGTTTTAGTTAAATTGATCAAATTCCACGGAGTGGTAAATTCTGAAAACCTTATTAAATTTTTTTTAATAGAGGTAGGTATCGGCTTTAAAGGCCAGCTCATCGAACATATTATATCCCTGTCTCTGTCTGTCTGAACGGTTAGGTACTTAGTAAGGTACTTAGCGTAGTACCTAAGTTTTGAAATGTCACTCTTCAATTATTATTAGTTCGTTAGTTCAGAAATATTAACACTTTCCAGTCAATCGCAAAATACGGATGACGGTGCTGTGGACAGGTCTCCCTTGTAATATTCTAGGGGGGGAGGAAGGGGGAGCGAAAAAAAACCGTTGGAACAAAATATAATAATAATATTTTATGTCGTTGCGTATAATATACAATTGGCGAAGCGATCATGTATATTATATAGTATACGCGTGTCGCCGTTATCTGTGCGAAACAGGCCCGCAAAGCCGTCCAGACGGAATATAAAAAAAAACACATGTATTCCCCGATCGATGAATTTTTCGCCAAACTATTGATTTCGGGTCGTCGTTGTTTAAAATTTAATCACAGTCGCCTTTATTAGATACATTTTGGATTTGGAGCGTAGCGAGAGATCTACTGATTTTATTTTTAAATTTTTTTTTCTCAGGATATTACATCTAGCGTTCTAGTTGGTACATTGAGGAGGTTATTTTTTGATTTTCCAAGTAGTTTTCATAATAATTGAGAAAACCGGATAAAAACGTAAAATGAATGGAAAAGTTTATGGAAATAATAGTTATATTATTTTTAATTTTGTTGTTTTATTGTACTTCGGTTAAAAATATTCGTAGAACGTGAAATTTAGACGGAAAACTTAAATTTTTTTTGCTAGAGGTGTGATTTTCTAAACATTTTGCTGATTAGAAATGCATACAAATTTAACAGAAGGTTCATTATAGGTTGTAATTAGTGGTTGAAAAATAAAAGTGTGTGTAATGGAGTAAAATTTTTTTTATTATTGTTTTAATATCGAGTATTGAAAAAAAATTGGAAATTTGACGGCCTTACCGTGTATTAACGATCTTTGCTCAGAATCGTTGCTTGCAGATATAAATTAAATAACTTTATGTATTCCACCTTCCCAATTTTCCACTTACAAAAGTGGTTTACCCACCAGCGGTATCAGATCTTCTTTTTTGTATTTTTAGACCGTGCGTTATGAGGAATATTGTATTGGTTTTATCGTAACGCGTGTGTTTTTTAACGGTTGAACGTTTCAACCAATTGTCCTTCTCCGGCCATTGACCGTGTGACCGTACGGGTGGTGTTTGGTAGCGAATTCGTTCTAGTTGGTGCATTCGGAAGTCGTAGGAAATGCAGGGAAAACGAGGAAGTGTACGTAACGACCGATTCTGTTATTTTCTTTTTTGTCGTCCTTTAAACAGAAATGGCGACGTCGCCTTTCGACCGACGTCTAACGACCGGATAGATCGTAATTATTGTCTATCTACCGGGGCCGGCCGTCCCGATCGTGCGACGCGCACGATTTCGGGGTGAAATAATTGGACGTGTTGTTCGTGGGGTTTTTCCGCGACCCGCGTCATTTGACGCCGCGGCATAAACAATCGCAGTCATCGCCGATCGTCCGGGCTGCGAGCGTTTGGAAATCGGACGGGCGAAACCCGCGGATTCGGAACGCGAACGTCGCCGTAACGGACGACGGGCGAGTGTTATTTTCCATTCGCGCGCTTTCCCTGCGGTGTCTCGCGAGGTCGGTGGGAATCGCAACACCGCCGCGTTATTGCGTACACGCGCACACGCCGCGGCGCAATTCGTATATTTACGCGCGCGCGCGCGCGCGTATAATAGTGAAATTCGTGATTTGTTTTGTTTTGTTTTGTTTTCATCCTCGGCCGCAATAATCGATAATCATCGCCCGTTCTTAAATCCCGTCCGCAATATTCGGACGGCAACCGTATCGTTGTAATTAGCCAATTCCCCGATAACCGACGCGCCGTTCAATGCGGGCAATTCGACAATATTACCCTACGGGAACGACGACGACGACGGCGGCGGCGTTATTGTTATTATTACGATAATAATAACGGGGAAAACGGACGTCGCCGACGTCCGGCGGCACGGCAGACGGATATCATACGATTCGTCGCGTTCGCGTTTCATTATTGTGTACATTACCAGCCTCCGCGGTATTCTTTATCATACACGGGAGATAAGCGAGTCCTCGATAGTCGCGGTCGGACTGCGCGTGCCGCTCCGACCGTGCAATTTTTTTTTTATCCTTTATTCAATAATAATAATATTACACGGGCGGAATTTTTCCGCGTCCCTTACAAAACGCGATAATTCAACGAGGGGAAAAAAACCAGACGCCCGAGAAGAAATAAAACAAATTTATTTTGCGATTGTGATTCTGAACGTAACGAGGAATGTAATAGTTTAGCTTACCGATGCGTGCACTGTTTTACCTGCGAGTGTAAACAATAACCCCACCGAGAATCTTATTCCGGTCGTCGACATCGGGAGTAATGTTTGTTATTCTAAATTGTATTTTGTTTGGTTTTTTTTTTGTTATAATTTAATTGTAATTTTCAATTGGCCGAATCATAAATGTCCGGATCGTCTAAGCGATTAAGAAACGTTTTGGGTAGTCGCTTTTTAGATTCTGAGTTTGTGAATAACTTTTTTACCGGAAATCTAAGCTCCAATTAAAAACCGAGAAGAGAGCTTTTTTCTAGAAATTTTGATCTAGTTGGTGCAAGAACGTCATTTTTTTTTGTTTACGAGTTAGTTTCTTATTAATTTGGAAAAAATTTGTAGGGAAACAGACAAAATATGTACGGCAATAAAAGTATTATTATTTTCGAATTGTAAAATGTATTCGTTTACCAGAAATCTTGCTCCGAATTTCAAGAGTAGCATTTTTCTGAAAGAAAATTTCGTCTAATTGGTGCGTATAAGAAAATTATTGCGTAGTACGTATATGTAGTTTTCTTAACAATTGAGAAAAATCTAGAAAGTTAACGGCATTAACGAATTCATTATTATCGATCACTTTTTTTTTCCTTAATTCAGTTAAAAATAACCGTACGCCTAAAATATTTCTCAAAATTCTGATGTTTTTGAGTTAAATAACTAAGCGTTATTTATAAGCATTTGACAATTTTATATTTTTGAATTCTTTTAAATTTATTTAGTTTTATATGAATACAATTTTTCGTCCTATTAGAAATGCTTGAAAATTGAAAACGAGTTTCACATAGCGAGTTTCACAAGTTGTACGTAGTGGTGAAAAAATGTTGAGATTAATATAGTAATTTTTTTTTATAATCTTTCTTAAGTTCAGATATTAATGAACATAGTGAAAACTACGACATTTTTACAAACGTTTAACTTAATTTCGCTCAAAATCATATTTCGTCGGTAATAACATTTTACTTTTGCACACTGGTCTAAATTAAATAACCATATGCATATAACCTTCCGAACTTCCTACCTACAATAGTGGCACACCCATCGGCAGTATCTGATCTATTTTTTTTTTTTTTTTTTTTCGATGCATCCAATCCAAACATTTAGGTATGGCTAAAAACGTTGATATTTTTATGACTGTTATTATGATTCTGAATGCACTAATACAATATATTGTATATACCGAACACGCGTCATATTTTACATAATATTTTTCCTCCGCGAATTTAAATCCGGGTCACGGTTGTATACGGCCTTGTGCTGTATTGAAAAAAAAAAACACCTCTTCAGCATTTACATATATATAAAAAACGTATTTTTTGTATGTATTTATTTTAGTCGTGGGATCATTAGTGTGCATATATATTACCGGCGTATTGTTATTAAGTCAAACGTAATCTAAATATTATTTTTTATTTATTTCGAATCGATTTTATCCCGTCCGTATTATGTTCGTATACAATAATAATACGAGGTTTATAAGCTCTTCAATCGCGGTAATCCACCGCACGTTTATGTGTAACCGAGAACTATGGGAGTGGATTGTATAATATTATAAACTCTCCTGTTTCCATGGCCGGTGAACAACTCCGATATTGTTTAACTCTCCCGAAAATCAAAATTAGATATACCAAAGGAAATATATATTTAAACTCCCAAAAACTAAAATTAAAAAAAAAAAAATTGGTTTTTTTTACAGAAAATCTAATCAATTAACAATTTTCTAATACCAATTTTCCGACATTACCATAATTAGTAGTATAGTCTTGGACGTAGAGATTGCTGTATCCGATGGCTAAAGACTACGACGGTTGAATGATTAGATCGGTTTTCATTATACAGTAATGTCCATAAACTATGGATACAAAGTCTGAGGCTCGGTGAATAGATACCCACTAATATTACCAGGGAGATTTCACATGATATTGTACTCTTCTCAGTTACTCCGGGAGAGTTTACACACGTAACATAAGCGGATATTTGGTGGGGTGATTTTGGGAGCTAAAAACTCTCTCCGGAACGTTATCAAGCCCCCTTAAAAAAAATAGCGTCCCTTATTGTAATGATTGAATTCAACCTAATTAAGATCATTAAAAGAAATGTGAAGTGGTACGCTAAAATATTTTTTTTAAAAAAGAAGTGGTATTTTATCCCCTCGTAACCCTCCCCCCAATTCAAACACTGAATTTATCTATTTGTTTATTTTATTTATGTTCTTATTTCCTATACATACTTTGTGCCTCAGCTAGAATAAAGGCGTAGTATCCATTAGCTAGTAAGTTGAAACGTCTGAAAATATATGTTTATGCTAATGAATTATGTACAAATGTCATGTCAAGCCCCCACAGATATAAATATCAGCCTAGTACGCGTTGCTTTTAAAAAAAAAAACAAGAAACACTCCGAAGAGTATTCTATACAACGGACAAGTGACGAGCGTTCGTTTTTATTATGACCATCAAGACAATCATAATTCGTTATATTCTTTTTCTTTCCCTTCGCATTTATCCTACGCAGTTAACAACTTCTGTTTTTGTCTTCCGAATCTTCCTATCAATCACAACGTTTCCCCATTTCCTCTACATGCCGTTCCATCTCCAATAATCTCAATAACCAATTTTGTTTGCCTACCGCTTTCCCGGTATCCGTCTACACTTCGTGCCTTGTAACTTCACGTCTTGTAATCTTCTTAACTATCTCATCGTAGTTTCTCCTACTCTGAACATGTCCGTACTATTTCTCAACCCTTTCTCAATTTCCTTGTTATATGCCCATATATATATATAAACACTCCAGACTATTGGAATCATTCCTAATTCTATTTAACCTGTAGTGTTAACTATACGTCTACCCTTAAACTTCTCATTTTAATGTTTCAATTTGAATTTCATTTCGTTTAATAACGCAATGTCCAACATCCAGAACCCAACGCTGACCTTTACAACCGGTTTTTCCTTTTACCGACAAAACTCCCGTCACTCCCTTCCCATTCAACGGACCACGCCTAATTCTTCACAATTCTTCCATTCGCTTGCACCACTGAATCCAAATACGTCGTTTTGGTATTGACAAATAGTTAATAATTTCTATAGGTACGCTATCCCTTAATAAATCACCAAACGTTTTCATAGTGACGACGTAAATAATGGTATTTTTTTTTTATTATTTTATTAAATTTGATTTATTATTAATTCGATTCATTAAAGATTGGTCACTGGTCCGAATTTTCGTATTAATACGGTTCGATCGATAAAAAGTATTTTATTTTTTTTTTTTTTTTTAACTGTGGTCGAGTTAGATATTACAGACGTTTTGCCTGATTGACTCGAAAATTGTTGTTCGTGTAATACAAATGTTATTATATCTTGATTGCTTAGAAGAAAAAAACCGAAAACGAAACGAAAACATTTCTCAACGGTTAATTATAATGAAATCATATAATATATATTATTATACTCTTTTTTTATAAATAATTAATACGGTTCCTATAAACATTTTGCTTGGAAACAGATATTATCCAATCGTAAAAAAACACACTACCGTACTCACCATGCAACCTAAATCCTCGTCGCCGTACAGGCCCGGGAAGTGTTTCTGTTCACCGCAGTTGAAACTGGTGTCGGGCAAATCCACTTTGGACACGAAGTTGTCATCGAAGTTCTTGTCGTACCCGACGGGATAGTACTCCTTTGGAGCGTTCATCACCTTGTGACTGCCCCCGTACTTGGACCTGTACGGTTTGATTGCGATTTTCTTCGTGACCGGCGACATCGCTTCCTCGTCGTCGGCGGCGGGCGGGGGCGGCGGCGCGGCCGTCGTGGTCGTCGTCGTGGTCGTCGTCGTGGTCGTCGTGGTCGGTGCCGAGTAAAACGGCCCCGGCGACTGTTGCTGTTGATGCCGCAGAACCATGGCCAGTTGTTCCACGCTGACGTTGTTGGCGGCCGCCGCGTTCACCAACATCATCATCGGGCCGGCGGACGAGGGCGGCGGCGTGGTCGACGGCGCCGGACGTTGCCTGTGCCGGATGGCCGCGGCCAGCTGTTCAACGGTCACGTTGTTGGCGGCTGCCGCGACGGCCAGCGAATCCGCGGACGGCGGCGCGGGGTTCACTTCGTTGGACAACGGCGAACTGTCGGCGACGAATTTGTTCCGGTTGTCCACGACCGCCGTGGGCGTTACGATTATCGGCCGGACGCCGATCGAGTTCGCCGGAATTTGAGCGAACCCCTATAAAATATAGAAGTACATTTTTTATGTGTTTTTTAAACCTGTTGAATCAATACTGTGGTGATTTAGACAGAACATTGTTATAGTATAAAATAGGAGGGGGGGGGGAAATTCGACTCAAGTGACGGAACACTACCTAACCCCACGGGTATTTTTTTTTTACCAAGAGCTAAAATCAATATTTCCTTCCCTGCCTTTTTTTTCAGTTTTGACATCAAATTTATTTAAAAACCCATCGATGTGATTCTGTCTATATTTTATAACACCCACTGACTGTTGTGTTATGAATAATACAATATTATTAATTTCAATTTATTTTCTCCGAATGCCAATACAAATTTTTGATATATATTGTAATATTATAAGTTCACTTTAAAACAAACAAAAAAAAAAAAAAAAAACAAAAACTCGTAAAGAACGATATATTCGATATTTTTTATCGAACAGATTATTAAACAGAAAATCTAGTGATTCTAAAAATCCACGTTGGTTTTGCCTTAAAAGTTATCTGTTTAATCCTCGTTATTTAAGTTTCGACATTACTATTGTCCAATGAAATTATATTGTATCGTATTATTTAATTCGAGTACCTACTTCATAGTTTATTTTTTATGTATACAAATCTGCATATGAAAATCTTAAAATGAAATTCAAGTTCAAATTTTAGATTCAAATACTGCGAAATGCCCCCTAAAACCCTACAAAAAAAGCTACCAAAAAAGGAAGAGAACGGCTTCAACGATACAATGTATCAAAATATACAAACAAATGTAAAATAAACTTTCTTATTCTCGTTTAAAACTATAAGAAACGAAACTGTGGTATCGCACGGATAGCTTAAAAAAATAAATACAAAGTGCATCAAAATCCTAGCCTTAATTATAATTCTATATATTATCCCGTAAAAGATTGCCAACGCATAATATTAAATAGTATACGTGATAATATGTCACTTTATGTTTATTTAGTAGCGTGTTTTTTTTTTTTTTTTTTGCCACTTATCCATTGGATTATGCCTGTATAGATTATAATGTAATAACAATAACATTACACTCTCTCTTCGCTCGTGACGTTTCTTATTTTATGTACGTTTAATTATAGTAAATTAATCATTTGGTTATGGATTATAATAATTTATATTCTAACTACATAATTACAACGAAGAAAGAGCTGATACCGGGGTCGGGTCACGGGTGGGCCGTTGTTGTGCGTAGGTAGGAAAGTAAGCTCCACAAAGTAATTTAATTTTAATCTGTACGCGACAATAAACCGTTGCTAATGAAAAAAGATTTTAAGTAAATCTTGGTTGTACATGTCCACTAATGCTGTAAACATTCCCGTTTTTCATACGAAAACAATTTTTTTTAATTATTAAGAAAACTATAAAAAAAAAATATATAAGTGACTTCATTATACACCTACAAGAAAAATATTTTTTACAGAAAATATACTACTCTTGAAATTTGGAAGAAAACCAATATCGAACAAATCTTAAATAATGAAAACGTTAACATATTTTGTCCGATTACCTTTTTTTTTTTTTTTTTCATTTTTCCCGATTATTACGAAAACAGTAATATGCATATTATGAAAAATCAAATGAATGAACACAATGCACCAAAAAATGTCTTATCTCATTTTTTGATTAAAGCAAGATTTATGGTAGAAAATTTATTTACAGAAACACATTAATGTTAAAACACACATCATATTGTAAAATCATTACATTAATTAAAATAATACTTTTTAAGCTTTTTGTAAATTTTTACTTTGTAATAACATAAACCATTGACGAAAACCTAGATTTTTCCACTTGTGATTTTTAAATAATTTTAATTTTGTATTCTATTATCTAATGCGTCATCACTGGACACGAGGTAAGAAAATTCCATATAGTTATAAAAAAATATTTAAGTTCTGATATGAAATTTAGAAGTAGTTTTGCTCTTAATTTTATAGGTTTTTTTTAAAGTAAAAGCTTTACTTACTAATCATTTGTTTTTTTAAGTGTTTATTTTAGCTCTTAGAATGTTTACTAAGCTTTTTAGAAACTTTTTCAAGCACTTTTTTGTTGATTACGAGTTCTATCAATCCCAAACCCTGGTCATAATATTTTAACGTTTTCAAATACTTCATTTATTTGTAAATATTTTACAAACAAGTGATTTATATTATATTCCAATAGTGTAAGTTAAAATAAGTATCTACACATGAGTAGATATTTTAAAAACATTAATTAAAAAAAGATTAAAAAAGACGCGACGTAATTCACATAATGGTGGGCCACTGTTGTAGTTGAGAAATTGTGAAGGTATAGAGAGGAATTTAATGTATATCCGTACTCAATGATTAATATTTACAAATGAAAACCTATTTTGAATATAATTCGTTTATACATGTCTAGAAAAATCACATATAAGTAATCTTTCCAAATTTCAAATCTCTACAAATATTTTTAACAAAATCACAACAAAAAACAAAACTGAAAATAATACATTTCGTAAATTTCCCTATGTTTTTCCTGGCTTTTCGCAATCATTATGAATACCACATGGAAAATAAAAGAAGCACCCAGATAACATTTTCTTTCAAAAAAGGTACTACACTTGAAAATCGAAGCTAAATTTCTGGTTGAAAAGTTATTCACAGAAAAGAAAAATATAAATAAACATCATTTTAAAACCAATACATTTCTCGCTCTACTCAGAAACGCGTAGAGTAATCATATTTTCCTGACACGCGTTTCAATCATAAGTCAAAGGTATTTTATCCGTGTGTTATATTCAGTGTTACATGCGGCACTCTGTTCGTTTGATGTTTTCATTTTCATACATAATTACTATCAAATTTGGTATTCTCTCGTTTCTTTTATTTCCTCCCTCCGACTCGTATAATTATTATAGATACATTCGTATCATTATTATTTTACAACAGAGAGAATGAACGGGAAAAAAAAGAAAACCATTGTATTATCTACACGAAACGCTGAATGTATATATTATTAAAATGTTCACACTACATTTGATAATGAATCATTTTTATATTTATATTTATTTTTTTTTTTTTTGTTTATTCCCGTATTTTTCAACCATTCATCGTTATAATATACCGAAAAATCTAATAATATTATTATTATTATTGTTTTAAATCAAAAAAAAAAAACAAAACAAAAAATGTGTGTTTTGTTGTTTTCCGCCCAAACAATCATAATTATAATTAATCAAATTTTTAATGACAGCTTTTTTTTTTACCGAACTTGTTTTGGTTCGTTTATCAATATCACACTGACCTTAATATTACAACTCAATTATTTTGAATGAAATCATATTATTATTATAAACGAACGATGAGTGATATTCCGATATAGCGTTAAAAATTACAAAAGTTCGTTAAAAGCACTCGTTTTAATGATTATTGCATAACTCATTCTGAAATATAGAAGACAAATTAAATATTCTACCAACAATTACGTACAAAAAGGCCGTTAAGGTTTTGTACAGAATTTATGACTATGATGATCTTTTTATCATGAACCAGGTCCGTATCCATGGGGAAAAATAAGGGGCATTATCTCCCTAGAACCGTTATTTGTCCCCTCCCCCCCTAAAAACTTTTATTGGAGGGCGGCTATTTTCGAAATAATCGTGATATTAAAAAAAATATTATAATAGTAAAGAGACATAATAATGTTTTTTCTAGTATTTCCCCCTATATAAATCGGTTTGCTTCTCTTGAAAATTTGATCTAGCATCTGGCCTGTCTCTAATTAGCGGAGATTAACGGAGATATTGAGTAAATTTGATTTTGTTTGGTTTTTTCAGACAAATTGTAAAGAACTGTTTAATGATCTTTATATTTATAATAAGACGGTCAATCTATATGTAATATCAACAGTTAATAATGTCAACATGAAATATTTAATATCAAATTTTGATTTCCAAACAACAGTGGTAGATATCGGGAGGGTGGAACGATTGGTGGATCCCCCCCCCCCCCCTTGGGATTATTGTCACCACGATATATTATTATTTACAACTTAATATTTAAGAATTTTTATAGGTATATGGGACATTTTGGAAATTTATAATAATCCTCCTACACGGGATAAAGGTTTGAAATAATCACTGGAGGGCATAAATCCCATAACCTCTGTGGATCTGTGGATTTGAAAATCGCCCCTCCCTCAGAACTAATATATATCTATGACTTCCAAGTATTTATAGCAGCCAAAATGTTCGAAGAAAAGGTGATGTAACATTAGATAATATATTATTATAACATAATATCATTATTATGGATGAACAAAAATTGTATTTAATCATCTATTAACCCACAAACAGTGTGAAACTTCAGATTAGGAGATGCCGTTGTCCCATCATATTTCCTTACTCTATCCACGGAAGCGTCCTTGGCTATGTGATTAACGAACAATTATACCAAGTTCGTGAACTTGGTATAATTGTTCTCGTTCCCAGGCTTAACCCAAATGTTCATATTAACTATATCACACATAAAACGCTAAAATTATTAGGTTTCATAAATAGGATATTTTCTTAATTTCAACTAGTTTGCTCTTCAAAGGCGTTACGCGGGTCAGGCTACTCGAGTATAAATTTTTTTGTCTGGAATACTCACTAGATAGACTGCTGCCAGCAGATTAAACGCGTTAAAGAAATTATCTAAGTTTTGTGGGCATCGAGCTTAAAATTCCACAACCTCCACACAACCGCAATCCAGTACTCCATAAACTCAGTCTCCAGTCTTAAGCTGATCGTAAAATTGCCCATAATAGACCTTCTTATATAATTATAATCTTCTGTATAATTGATTCCCCTTCCTTGTTACATCACGTTAATTTTAGAGTTCCCGCACGGCCCTACCCGAAGTATTGCTTCTTTCCTCATTCTTGATTGCCCTATCGATTATCTTAGTAATGAATAAATTGATCGCTGCATGAGGCAGATCAATTTAGATACCTCTAACTAAATAACTGCTGCAATTGTATCAATCATATTAACCAGTATATCTTATAAACGCATGTATTACTTACTTGAAATTAGTTACCACCCGTAAAATCAAAATCAAAATAAATTAAATGATTTATTATTTCAAAAAAAAAAAAAAAAAATCAAATTCAGTACCTGGATAACCATTAGTGTTCACTATAAAAGGAGCATCCTCCTATACGTGAATAATTGATATTTTTTTCTTATATTGTAGCGATTCCAACCTAAATTTATGTACATTTAGACGTACCATGCTCAAAGATTAATCTTAATGTTGGCTTGACATTTTTTTTCATGCAACACTTGATATATTAATTATAAACATCCGAGTAGGTACTTTGTGTAGGTAGGTACGATTAATGAAGGGCACTGTACGGAATAAAAACTACTATTAAACTTAAATGGACGTGATTGCGGCTTAATGATGGTAAAGTTTTTACGGCATAGGTCGCCGGAAAATAATGAAATAATATTAAACATTCAGATTGAAAAACGTTTTAATCGTATAATTTAAGCCAAAAACCTGAAATTATACAATAATGTGCAAACAAATATACTTATACTGGATCTTATACTGAAAGCACTACGTTGAAACATATTTCTGTGTAACTATAAGCATTTATAATATTAAATTTTTGTCGAATTTTTCTCCGAAAATATAGGCGCAATATATCACACTGAATTGTGACTATTATACTCGTATATTCCACTTGTCACTACTTTTAGACACTTCTATCAGATCCCGTCAATCAAATGAGCTCAACTTTGGGAATGAGAGTTATTGATTTACATGCGAGTTATGGTTTGATAAAAGTTGGGATGAATTTAAATACGTATGAATTTGTTATGTTATTGTGGAAGAAGAATATTTTGGATGCTTTGCATTCCCGTATAAATCCCTTAACTTAATGCAGGGGATCGCATTTTGTACCAGCATGTCTTTAGTATCAAAGATGTACATTTTAGGTGTTTCAACTTTCAACCCATATGCCTAATATTTGTGTGTTCAAATATTACCATTTTTTTTTTTTTAGAAAAGTATCTAAATTTGTAGTTAGTTAATGGCATTTTACTATTGTAGTATCAGGTTATTTATTATTTTACAGAGAATATTTGTATAGTGAAAAATAACAAAATAGAAGGGAGGAAATATGACTCGAAGTGACGGTGCTTTGATATTCTTGGGTATTTGTTATAATAAGAGGAACATTATTTAATTAGGTATTTAAAAATAAACTGTTTTATTCAAAGTTTATACATCAAATTAATTAAAAGTCTCATCCGTGCGATTCTGTCTATATTTTATAGTACCTACATGCTGTTGTGATATGGACAGTGCAATAATAATAATTTCAATGTATTTCCTCTAATTGCTAATATATAAAATAAAGTGTATCACAATTTAAAAAAATATACTCTCTCATTGAAGATTGCTACTACGTATTTAAATATTAAACGTAATAATATATTGCTTCATATTCATTCAGTAGTATTGCCACTTATTTATTGAAATATTATCGTGTGAATTTCTATTACAGCGCAATTATAATAATTACATGTTCTCTCCTTTCACTAATGATATATCTTACATTATGTGCGTTTAAGTTAAAATCAATTCGAAAATTATGTATAGATTACAATTTCAGAGGCATTTAATATTTGAGAACGAAGTCGAACTCTAAAAAACAAAAAAAATGATAAATTGATAAAGATATTAAACCCTTATTAAATAGCTGGTCGGGACTAATATAATTAGTGTAAAATTATGAAAATATAAAAAAAACATTCCAAACATTAATACACTATTCGCATCTTAATAAATGTCTTCTACTTCATAATTGACAGACTGGAAACATAATACTTTCATACGGTGTATAATATTATTATTTTAGATTTGAAGCGTAGCGAAGGATCTATTAGTTTGACTACGATGCGTAATCTATCTTTTTATTTTTTTATTTTTTTTTTTTGTGTCTGTGAACAACTTTTCTGCTGGAAATCCTGCTCCTTTCTTAAAGGAAATGTTATCTTGCTGAAACATTTTACAGATGATTTTTCAAATTTTCAAGTAGTTTTCATAATAATTGGGAAAAACCGGGGAAAAAAACGTAAAACGAAAATTTTACCTAGGATTTTATTATTTTAAATTTTTACCAATTAGGTTTTCTATCAGAAATAATTCTACAATATGAAATAACAATTGGCGTTTTTTGTTGCATTTTTAATCTTGTTGGTGAGTAAGGAAGTCGTTTTTTAATTTTCTCTGTAGTTTTTTGAATTATTCATGCAAACTTAAAAATAACGAGAAAGTTTACAAAAATGATACTTTTATTGTTTTCAATTTTATTTTTTTATTAAAATTCAGTCAAAAATATTCGTAAAGCTTGAAATTTTAACAGAAAACTCATATTTGCCTTTTTAGATATGTTAAAATGACTAGATTTTAGAGCCATTTTTAGACATTCTATGTTTGTGATTTTTTTCCGTAGTTTTTATTGGTAGATACTCTGTGGTTAAAATTGTTTGACTAAACAGAAATGCTTTAAATTTTGACAAGATGTCCATAACTTTATGGTAAAAAAATAGAGTTCAACGTAGTATATTTTATAAGAATTTTAATTATCAAAATTTGATGAAAATGTAAAATTAAATAACATTGTATCCTACTTTCTCAACTATGCACCGACAACAGTGGTACAGCCGTCTTCAATATATGCTTTTTTTAACTTTCACATGCCCTATGCTGCTCTAATCAAGCTCTTCCAAAGGTCTCTATAATTTTCCATTCTAGTTATTTTATCTGGTGTGTATTACAGAACTGCAAACATATCAGATATACAGCCATCTTATTAACGAGTACCCTATTATTAAAAAATAGGTACCGCTATAGTAGTAATATACTCTATAATATAAACATAATTATACCATTAATGGAATTTTTATTATTGGCTCATGATGACTGGCAAAATGTGTCTATTTCAGAGAGTCAAAACTCTTGATAACAAAAAAAAATAATAATAATAATAATCACTTAAAGAGATAATGGCCCAAAACAGAAATAACCGGATGCCACCTACACGTCTTATACCCGCAATCGAAATATGTTTTGTGCATTCGTTAAGCACAAATAACGTATACTGATACCGTACTCGACATACATGCAGTACAGGTACTTACTAAGTGTTACTTAGCATTTCTAAGTCAAACAGCTCCGCGCACGATAATACATTGAATATTATCATTCGCATTTAGACATAATACCTGACTATACTCGCACTTATACGGTGTTACAATACTATACAACTATAACATTATTATAATGAGTCCTTAAATCTTACGAAAAAAAAAAAAAAAAAAAAAAAAAATGTTCATTCAATGGATCGGGGTCATTAGAATTATTTTTACTTTCTACTAAAACGCAATAATAACGTATCTATACATCTTCCTATAGTAACTAGTCGCAAACAAAACATAATATTGCAAAAAACCGTATCTTAATAATTGCTCGCGGTCTTTTATATGTACGTAAAAACTTGTACAGCGAAATTCAAAATGTTTGATTTACGCGTTTTTGGTATCCACGAATTTGTAGTTTTTTTTTTTTTTTTTGTAAAGCATTAACATCATCTATAGTCTATACCTATACTTGTAAGAAATACAAAATTACATCTATCAAATACCTGTGTTGCAATGCAATGTATACGTTCGATCCTTAAATGTAGAATGCGCAGTCGGCATGTGGTTAATTTTCGAAAAACAAAAGAATATATAAACTGGTAGAAAAACAATCACATTATTTAGTATTGTAAGTACAATCAGGCCGTAATTAGCCTAATCTACCTCAGCATTATTTGTTATACCTTAGACACTAAACAAATTATTATTTTATTCTAAACTTTCAAATGGATTTCCTGAACAATTACTTTTTTTTAAATTATAGCCTAATTTTATGAACAAAAGTATGTCCGATTAAAATCGCAGGTTTACCGAAACAATATTATCAAAAACTATACGATTAGTAGACATGTAGGATATCTATAAATCTCCTATTAGTTTTTAAACGCTACATAATTTAATTGCTGTATAATACATTATTGTTCGGTTTTCGAATATTTTTAATAAATATGTAATGTTAAAAATTATCCTTAAATTCTGATGTACTTAGAATTTGATCTTATGGTATTGACACTTTCAGTGATAATTTAAAACTTCAATAAACATCCATAGCATTATGGAAATATACTTTTATTTTTGAACAAGTATTAACTGATGATACACGGTTGAAAAATACAAGTGTATATAAAAAAAAAGTATAAATTCTCAATCGCGAAACCTACGTTTGCACAGTAGTATAAAAGAAAAAGAAAAACATGCCTTGAAAGACATAATAATAATAATCGTATAAACGGTCACTCGATTAAAAATAAAACATATTGTACGTGCTTGTAAGGTTAGGTTAGGTTAGGTTAGGTTTGAAACGTTTATAATATTTTTTCTGCTTTACCAATAAATTTAAATATAAATTAAACAAACTTATAAAATATCGATATTTTATAATTCGCACTAATTTTCAGCATCGTGTAGAATCTATTATTTTTGTGAGTTATATTACTTCTTTAATTTTGAATGCATTAACAAAATGGACTAATTCATATATGCAAATAAAATTCTATTTACAAATTTTGTAGTTTTTATGGTTGAAACGGAAGAAGAGTTGAGGAATTTAACAGTTTGCTAAAGGAATAAATGAAAGAAATTGAACGGCTCAGAGCAACGAGGCTAGTTTACTTTTCGTAATTTTTCAAAGAAAAGAATAACATTTCACATAATATTCAAGTAAGGTTAGGTTATGTGAAAACCACATAAATCATTTATTACCAAACAAGCATAAAATCTCCCGTGGAGACCTCGCTAGAAATGGTTTGATAAGATAAGTACATACCTGTCCATAATAAATAAAATCTTCAGCATCGGTATATCAATGGACAGAGATCAGTGGAAAGGATAGAAAAAGCGGCAAAGAACTTTAATGATCCATATAATAGGGCAGAAGAAGAAGAAAAAAAAGCATAAAATCAGTTACACGCACTAGATGATACTATAGTATACCATATATAGTGTTATCAATCATTACTTTAAAGAAGACCGTGAACTTGTTTTTCCAGAATTTGTTGATTCGGAGAAGTGCACTATATTTTCTGTATTTAGTAGATGCATTTGAATTATTGCTGCCAGTGACGCCGAACCTTTTTTAAACTACTGGGGTAAACCCTGATTGAGGATAACACCTACCCACCCACCTAAGCCTGATTAAAAGGGTCAAATATATACCCAACTTGTCATACGCGCTTGGCACCACTGATTGCTGCGCTAAATTATATAGCATTCATTGCTTTATTAGAAATTATTATAAGAAAACCACTTTCGAAAATAAAAGTAAGCTTGCTCTGTCGTCCTATGCTCTTCCATTCGCCTAATAACCAACGGAGAGAAAACAAAGTAGGTATATGATATCGTCTACACTAGACAATCCACGGAATTAATCACTTGAAAATAGAGAAATACAAGTTTGAAAGGGTAGCTTTATATTTATATTTATGATTCTAACCTTATATAGCAGTGTAAGTATAAGTTAGATATGACATGAATGAAGTTTAAAAACACTACATGGATAAATAACCAGACAAAGGCCAAACATAGTCTTTAGAAATGGCGGCCAAAAGTGAATGAACAGAAGACAAAAATACTTAAAGTTTACGGGAGTCTGAGATTCGGAAGAATCTGCAAATGATTGGAAAGTGTGTAACAACATCAAATTTGAATACAATCTTTAAACAAATCGTGACCTGCAGTACTCACGTTAAAACGTCTGTTGGCCATCTGCATCTGTGGTATCATCGCGGATAACTGGACGAGTTGCTGGTTCTGGGACGTGGCTGAGGGTCGGTGGAGGGATGCCAACGTGGACATCTGAGGCATTGCGGGTTGGACCATCTGCACCGGGACAGCCATGGTCTGCAGTCGGCCAGCTGTAATCGGCACTACGGCTACTGGCTGCCTATGAACCGCGGCTACCGACGCCGACGTCGGCGTCTGTGGCTTTTCTACAGATACTTTGGCGATGGACTCGGGCAGGGCAGCAAAAGCCGGCACGGGCAACGGTTTCAATAAAGGTTGCAGTTGCTGCTGCTGTTGTTGCTGTTGGTGTAGCTGTTGTTGCTGTTGGTGCAGCTGTTGTTGCTGTTGTTGTTGTTGCTGTTGGGCGGCAAATCGGACGTTGCGGACCATGTTGTTGGCCGCGGCCATCAGCGGCCGGAAAGGCGGCACGGTCGTGGTCCGGCCGTTCATTTTCGCGTACGCAGATCGGTCCTGATCGATACTGTTGGCTGACGGCGTTCCGGTAGTTGTCTGGAAAATAAAATTAACGTTAATTTTATTGCAACTGAGTAACTGCAGACTGTGTAATTCTATAATGGGCACACATTTTGCACAAAGTGCATAACACAACATCAGTTTCGTAAAATTGTTAGGTGAGGTTTTTTTTTTTTTTTTTCATACAACGAAACCGTTTTTATGGTTTCCGTACATGATTAGAATTATAGCTACACAGGCATTGACGTTGGGTTTATTTAACGACCAATGGTAACGGTTTAATTAAACGAGTATAATAAAGTATTATTATTCGCATGCTAAATCGGGGACGGTCAGGTTTTAACGACATTTTTATTATACATTTTTTTTACAATTATTTTTAATCACCTCGGTCATCACCTGTTACTACAGACGAAGTTACGCGGAAATTAAATTAAAAAAAAAAACAACCAGACGGCATTAGAATAAATAATCGGCCCGAACGGTTTTTTCTTCGGTCATTTTCGTTAATACGAGTGTGCCGTTTAATGCGTTTTCAGATCCAAACACCCAGAACGTACATCGGTGTCGCACGTGACACGCCAAAATAATCCTATGGTATTTTAGTTGATTTACTAGTCGATTCGCAGACTAGATGGTGTACTCGAAACGACAATATAGTATATTGTAAAAAGATATCAGCTCTTTAGAGGTACAACGTACATGTCTACTTTGAAAACTCAACATTTGTCTAGGCCCGACGGAATTAGTATTCCATTAGTATTAGATAGCAGAAAAGAAATTATCGGATTCGAATAAATGAGAAATGTATTCGTTTTACTAGGATGTGTGTTTTTTTTTTTTATTACTATCTGTGAACAACTTTACTTGACTACTAGGAATCTTGCCTCGATCAATAAGTAGCATCTAATAATAATTATTATTATTATTATTTTTTTTTTTTTCTATAAACAATTTTTCCAACGGAAAACTTGCTCCAATCAAAAAATAATATACAATTATTTGGATCTAGTTTGATGCTGAACATTTTTTTTTTACAATGGGTTAAGATCAAATTTTTATGAAAATCATAAACATAGCTTTTCAAATGAGCTATATATACGAACCTCGCTCATGTTCGTTTTTCGTTATAAATGGCTTATCATTGCATACAGATATAAATACTAAATAACTTTAAGTATTCTATCTTCCTAACTTCCCACCTACAACAGTGGTACACCCATCAGCATTATCAGCTCTGTTTTTTAATCCAGGGTTTGAAATCGGTATTAATAACCGAAAAACTGACACACTAAATACAAAACCGAAAAAAAAAAATGTAAGTAAGTAAAAAAATCAAAAACAATACCGAAATTGTTTTTTCGATTATTCATGCCCCTTTTTATTTTATTATACGTTAAAAATGCAAGTATTAGGTATACAATTTGTTACAATTACCCTTCCAAATCCCTCTATTTATAGGGTTGTATACGTTACGAGTGCACCACTTTGTTTTCACTTGTTTCATCCGTGATCGCATTTTTGTTTTTTTTTTTCAAATTTACCATATCGATGAGCCGATAAATTCACCATCGAATAAGTTACGTTAAGGGTCGATGAAAAATGTACACTTCATCCCGATCGTCAATAAAACCAGCCGATAAATCAAGTCAACGAAAATACATCCTCAATCATTTCAACGAGTATTATATACAGAGAATTTCGACAATCTTTTTAAATGTCCTCACCTACAGCCACACACGTTGAGTTATTTTGTTTTTATTTTTCGTGACCGTCAATAAATCACGATATTCCAATTAATAATAGCCTAGTATATTGCATCCCAGTAAAAATGTCCAATAAATCCATGTCGCGTTTAATTACGTACCTATACTATCAAATTCCGATCAAGGTCATCCGCAGACATTTTTCGAGCGTGACCCGACAAGAAACGTTGGGAAATCCCTCGCCGCAAACCTAACCCCCCGCCCCATAAAAAATTCAAACGTCGCATTGTCAAAATGATCGGTCCTTGATATGTCCGGCTATGTAAGTTATATCTTACATACCTATATTACAGTTCGAAAATGGAAACACGACCGTCGTAAAAAAGCGGGACGAAATAATCGTACGTTAAATAAAATGGCCGACAATTTAGCTGTGTGTCCCGTGACCAAAATAATATTATTATTTTGTTCCGGTCGTTTGTAAGACAATTTGATTAAAAGTTCACTCGAAAAACGTAATAAAACAATGCATCCGAAAACCAAACAATTTATTGTTTTCTGTTGACGGTACTCGAGTCGCCCTGCAATCGGTATATCAGTATAATAATATTATTGTCGAATTTTTACCGAAAATATATTCGCCAACTAGATTATAAATGCGAGATCACTTCAGATTATTAGATCGTGAATATGATCACTTGTCGTTTTTTTTATTGAAGCAATATATCTGATAGAAAATATAAAACGTAAAAATACAAACAACAGTAAAACTAATAAATCCCTCGTTACTTTCCGAATCCAAAATAAATAACGAAATCGGAATGCCGAACATTTTTCAACGGTTTTTCGCGATTATTCAGAAAATTATTTGAAAAACAAAATAAACGACTTTCTTCGTGAGCAATTAGATCCAAAATGCAACAAAAAAAAAAAAAGATGATTTTTCAATTAAAGCAGTGTTTTCGAGTGGAAAACATAATAAATTACAAACACGTGAAATCGTGAAATCGTTACGTGGTAAATATTCGTGCATTTATTCATGCGTTTTTCCCGATTATCGTGAAAACCACTCGGATAATCGAAAAACGACCTCCTTCACGGTACCGACCAGATGAAATTCACTTTCGGAGGTGGCGGAGGCTACGTTTGAAAATCGGAGAGAGCTTTCTGGGGGCAAAAAAATACGCCACGGTGTAAAAAAAAAAAAAAAAAAAAAAACAATCATCGTCGTAAGACCCATACGTTCCCCGCTTCGCTCAGTGACCCGCACACGTGTACGAAATGTATCGGCCGGGGCCGAGGCGAAATCCGAGACGCTGCGGTGACGGATCCCCGCTCCTCGCGGGCGTTTCGACAATCGCGCCGCGTGTCCGCGGGACCTCTCGATGGCGAAACATAATATCGCCGGGTCACGTTTTCCGGGTCGATCCGCCGGGGACGTTTTACGGGCCGCCGTCGTTGCGGCGTTTCGGGACCGCGGGTGGCGAAATCGGCGCGCCGCAAAATATCGCCGAAAAATAGGCCCGCAACCCGTTTGGGAGTCGCCTGTGCCGCCGTCGTTTCCGTTTGCGAATCGGTCGCGCGGCTGTTCGCGCGGATTGCATTCGGCCGGCAGAACCGGAATTCAAAGCCGTCGGCCGCTAGCACGCTTTTGATAACGGCGTCCGGTAATCCGATCGTATCGGCGGGTCTAAATTATCGCACCGGTTTTCTACCGCGATCCATTCTCTGGCGTCCCGTGAACGGGAACGGGCAACGCGAATTATCACCGCGGAAACGGGCACGTCGGGCGATCGGGCTGCTCGCCGACGAGCTATTCGAACGGGCCCGGTGGATTGCGGATTGCGATTTGTTCTGTTTTGTCAATGAAACGGAAACCGGGTGCAGCGGCAACGTCACGGGTTTTCGAACGACGTCCGTCACTTTCGCTCTCGCACCGATAACGGCGAGAACGGGCGTAAATCGACGCCGCGTTATAATCAAACGCCGCGATAAGAAATAGTTTATGTTTGTGCGGACGCGATAAAAAACAAAAAAAAAAATAATAGCATTGGGTTATTCCCGTCGTCGTCGTGGAATGCGTATTTTCCGTAGAATGCGACCCGGCGGCGAGGACGACGACGACGACTTTCGGTAGCGCGTGCGCGTCCGGACGACGAGATTATTATCGTTTACGGTTTGGTTTATTTCTAAACCTGTGTTCTCGCCAAAAGCAACCGATGACGGCAACGCGACAGAGATTCAAGTCTAGTTTTAGTTGAGTTGCCTAGTTGTTCTCTTATACGAAACCAATATGCAACTTCAATGCAACTTCAATGCATATTCAGTTGTCAAAATGTCTTCATCCGATGAGGATATTGTTGTAGCATTTATGTATTTGAGGTATAAAAAACAAAAAAAAAAAAATAAAAAAATTGGGTTCATCCGTACTATTCACTCAACGTCAACCCTCTAGTATAACAAATAATACGATAAATCTATTTAATATTGTATCTGTATGTACATTGTTTATACAAGATTAATTAGTAATTACGTTTTTGATTTTTCGACAACGTTTTACTTACTAGAATTGTTGGTTTTTTTTTTTTTTTTTTGAAATGTCATTCCACGCTTTTTCTTTTATGTCTTGTCGAGTATAATCAGACGATGTTGTATCGTAGAGACGTGGGTGACTTTCTATAAGTTGTACGAAAACTATATTTTTCTGCTTGTTGTTCATTTGCCATTTTAAATAAATTATTAACAAACTATTAAATTGATCGTACCTCATTATAGACCAGAGTAATAATCAAATAATTGAAATATTCACAAAATCGCAGCTATTCACACTAGCAACCAGACAGAGAGGCTGACGCGTCGAGTCACTCAAAAATAGTTTTCAAACAGCTGGGTTGTTTTCCAGTCCGGTTGCGACCTGTGAGGACACGTCAATTTAATAATACGTGTCGCGATTGCGTTGCCGTCATCGGTTGCTTTCGGCGAGACCACGGCCTAACGATATTATTGTTGTTGTTATTGTTATGCACGCGCGAATTACCGTTGTCCGGCCGCCGGTGACTCACGTCCGATTTCTGATTAAATTCGTCGTCCGCGCGCGTTCGACGCTCGTCGTGTTTTGCCGTTTTGTATGGCAGCGCGCGTGCAATTGCGAATAGTATTTGCGCTTTTGGATTCTGAGTAGAACGAAGAAGCTTATGGATTTTACAAATATATTTATTATTGTTTTTGTTATCCGCGGATGACTTCACTACCGGAAATCTTGCCGCGATTTACAATGCACAATGGCACACTTTCTGAGAGGTACATTGGGGGGGGAGGTAATTCGTTGATTATCCCCGGGAGTTTTCTCAAAAAAAAAAAAAAAAAATGGAAAAAATCGGTAAAACCGAGAAAACAGTTTTATTTCCGCTTTTTTTAATCGCAATGGAATCGTTTGAGCTTTATTTTAAAACCATTTTTAATTTTTCATCCCAACTCCATGTACCTTAAATAAGTACATGCTTTTGATTTTTGAATAGCTCCCCCCTTTTTAACACAAATTTGAATAGAGAATATTAAATGATTTAAGTACCCACGAGCAAAGGGTATAAAGGTATATAACAGTATATAAAAAAAAAAAAGTATACGAGTACAACAATACAGTACAATCAGGTACGCACTACACGTTGTTCACTGATTAACTACGATTTCGTAAAATATCGTTTTAAATTTTTTTTTTTTTTTTTTTAAATGTTTAATACTGTAAACGAAAAACGCAACATTTCTGAAACGATACACAATACAATAATACAAACGGCGCAAACGGTTTCGTCGTATCGATGACTGTTTTTTGAAAACGAACAGAAATTAGTCGGCACGAATACAATGCAACTACAACACGATGGAAATGTGAAACGTATCGAATAATGTGTATTATTATGTGAAAATAAGTGAAATATCGATCGGTGCAGACTCGTTGCAGTTCCGTATGACAAGGTTATAATATAGTCGTATTTTTCATAGCACGCGCCGTAAACTGAATTATAATAAAATTTAAGACGTCCCGATTCCCGAAACTGCTTCGTGGTACCGCGACCTGAATATCGGATGAGAGAGCAGCGGCGGTCTCATTATTGTGCACGACGACATATTTTTGGAGAACGATTTTTTTTTTTTTTTTTATCATTATTTCTTACGGTTTGGTATGGCCGTAGAAAGAAAGGGGCGGGAAAAAAAATTAAGAAAAACAGACAGAAACAAACGAACGATACACGACTAACAACATACTGAAAATGATAAGAACTGAAAACCGCGAGCGAATTGTACGGTCAGACGGTCCCATTTAGCGCTTCCCGATGGCCCTTATAAAAGGCCTATTCAACTCGTTGTAACATTGTAACTGGACATATCGTCCGGAGCTCTCGAACTGCCTCCCGAATTCGGGTAGGTGACCATTTTTCACTCGAGTTGCCTTCGGGCGTTTCCGGAAGCGACCCGAGTGCACCCGAACCGTCCACCCGAATAGCCTCACATTGTATACCCACAGATTATTATTTAATATATCGATTGATTATTATATTGATTTTCGTAATGTTCGAAAATATTGTTAATCTATTATTTATATATTTATGTGTAATACAGTATTTCCCAGACGGATTAATTGTTTGTCGGATGCAATCATCTTATCGATGGTAACTGATTATCAGTAGATTAGTTGACTATTGTATTCAATACCACTAGTTCAACATAATCAGTTTCGTTGGCGCAACCGTTACGCGCTTGTACAAAGTGATAGTAATAAAAAAATACTGCGTTATTAGTGAAAAAGGCAAAACAGTTTTAGTTTGGGACGGATTTAAGTTTGGGTTTCAAAAAAACTTGGCTAACGACAGTAAACGACGGACGTGCACAAGAAAAAACATGTTCAGGTTATTTAAAAACTAATCAACTTAATGAAATCCAGTTCGAAAATCGTAAACTTATTCACGATTGCGAGAAAGACTCGGAGCAAAAGATCAACAGACAAATACTCAGGAATAATCTAAAACGTAAAGCTTTAGAACAACTCTCTGAACGACCAGTAAAATTATTTCACGTAGAGATGAAAAATATTAATGTGAGTACGTCAACAACCTCAGACATAATTTACATTAAAAATAACATAAGCCATGCTAGGAATTCTATAAATCCAAAATCGTCACAAAATGTGAATAAAGTCCATACAGTTTTATCGTCCAATGAGATTAAAACATATATAAAAAAGAACTTTTTAATGGTAAATGACCCATAAAATTGTTTGGTAACGTTTTCATGCGATGAAAGTGTCAAGTTTCTAAGCACGCTAAACACATTATATATGTGGATGAAACTTTTGACTATTGTGTTCGGTTTTTTTGTCAATTGTTCACCATACATGGATTTCATAATAATTATTACGATGTATTCCCTTAGCAAATAGTTTGCTATTACATAACATACATAAATAATTTTAATTTTTGATCAATTTAATTTTCATTGCTGTTACTTAATGCTATTTTTTATTAATTTTTAATATATGCAATTTTGATACAATACGTGGACTTATTTGCTTTTTTGTACTAAATAATGTCTACTAATGATATGTGTCTAATGTCGTAAACCTAATACTTAGCTAAGTATAATTGTTTTTAGTTTTCAAAAATTCGAAATAAAAATCGATATTGATACAAGGTTACTACCTAAAATAGGAGGCAATCCGAGTAAATGATATTTTTGAAATCGGGAGGCGATTCGAGTTACTTGTTTAAAAAAAAAATTTAAGGGTCAGATGGACCTGAACATCTCGAAATCGTGTTTGGGGATTTTAGAGTTTATTTTATTCTGCCTTGTAACCTAAAACATTGTCTTACTCGTGGTAAAAAGGATATATCCTATTTTTTCGCCTCTCAATGAAATATCCCGCTATACGAGTAGGTGGGTCCTCAAGGATTTTCGTTGGACTTTCGATAACCAGGAAAACTTTAATAATATATTTGTTTGTTTTTTATTCCGTGTAAATCGTATTATTCGGTAGGCAAAGTATACAATTTTATTGTGACCATGATAATGTTTACTTACCAATCGATTGTTATTTTGCGGTACACCCAAAAGGTCGAACGATCCCGGCGCTGGAATACCGTTAACCGAACGACGTTTGTTGTTTTGTTCCAATGCCGAAAGAGATTCTTTGAAACCCAGTTCGTCAGCCAGTTGAAGACCTGTAAATAATAATATAAGAAGTTCCGTTTTAAGTAACGACTAGAAAACGTTGTTTACACTGTCTTGTGAAGTATCCTTTAAAAATTAATCGAACAATTGGATTAACTAAACGAAAATACAAAATAAATATTCCAAATTTTAAGCAAATCAGCAAAAATAATATATGAAAAGAATTAGTTGTATATTAGACATCCACTTCGTTTACCCATATTTGTCATTATTTGCTTCTTTTCTATTTGGAAATGTATAAAAAATGTTAAGGAATCGGCAATAAAAAATTTGATCGAAATAGTAAAGTTGCTCTCGAGATTTTCACTAACATTCAAACAAATGTTGGAGGTAATGAGATTGAAATTTAAATCTTCTAAAGGCATATTCTTGACAACGATACTATTATGTACACAAATTCTAATCATAATACTTTCCTTTAATAAGCTGTTGGAGCATTTTAAACTCGGTATCTTCTGTTGAAAACATAACATTTGAGCATAAAAAATGGAAGTAGAGGGGGTCAAAATGGTAAACTCTCAAAAGACATAACCTATTGGTACTTAAATCATTCATACATAAAATGTCATTTCCCTTACTTGATTTGGAGATCTGTAGTGGTGTAAAAAATTAAAAAAACCTCCATATTCCCCCAACAACATGATGAAATTCAACCAATATTTTATTACTTCAATCCATTTGTAAAACAACTCTCATTCCCGAGTTTAAACTCATTTAGTCCATAAAGAGCTGCTAAAATCTGCCGACAAAAAAACTTCAACCACTTTATTTCTTGTTTTTTGGATCACAAAATGTTATATATTGTGTACTATAAGATAGATAGGCTATAAAATATGAAGAGGAGAATACTCCATCAGAGCAGCATTTGAATAGAAACTTTGGGGTATAATACCCCATGGATGGCCCAGGAAAAAGTTGACAGATGCGAGGAATTCAAGAATATGGGAGTGGACGAATGGAGAAAAATATTTATTTATGACAGGGATAAATGACGTGATTCGTTGTTGACAGCGAAGCCTCTAAGAGAGTCGTGAAAGGCCAAAAGAAGAAGTTCAAATTGTTGCTGGATTATACATTCAGATTTAAATAATTATCACCACTGATTTCATCAACAAAATATTTCAATGAACTTGCTGTTTTATCAATGATAAAGAAATTAAGTACCACTTTATAATATATGTTTATATTTTGATTTGCATGTAAATATAAAATATTATATTATTTATATAGAAAATAAATATGTTTAATTGTACGATTCATTTTGAATGCATTAAGAGAATACTATAAACTCATTTCACGTTTTTTTTTTCTTTTTTAATTGCTTTATTCTTTTGTTAATAAAAAAAAAAGTTGACATTTAATTTCGGTTTGTGGAATTACGCACGATATTAATCTTCATAAAAATATCTACTACGTGGTGTACATAATTATCATAACAATACCATAATATAGTTAATTGGCAATTTATCCTATCGTGTTTGCAACAGGAATTTAAGTAATTAAAATAATAAAAACGTATTAATAAATTAATATTATGAAAATATTCTGAACTAAATTTAAACAGAAATATCCAGAAAATAAATTCTGCTAGTTTTAAATTCGAGAATAACTTCCAACTACCTACTGCTCTAGATGTAGACTTTATGGTCTCTTTAGTTTGAAAACAAAATATGCAAAACAAAAAAAAAAAGTATGATAAAAAATATTATAATGTATACAAAAAAAAATATCACGATTAATTATTGTTTTCAAAACAACATAGCGCAGTGCATGTAATTAATTAATTAAGTTCTTTGTCATGATTTTGACAATCTTTTTTTTTTTTTTTTTTTAGTTTAAATAAATAATTATTTTTATACGAAACAAATTGGGGTAATAGACGCAGGATGACGAATAAAACTGATGAATAATATTCAAGCCGGAAAGATTAATTTTAAATCGTTAATAAAACAAAGAATATTGAAATAACGACAACGGAGTCACTATAAATAGAGAAAATAGATATTCGTAAGAGGAATGACTTTAAGGGGTAGTTTATTAAGTCGATAATGTTGGAAGTATAAGACTAAAATGACGGTTTGCAGACGACTTGATGCAGACGAGACGAAGTTTAAAAAATGAACGTTGAAGGGGATTGGGACGAATCAATAATAAAATGGTGAGAACGATATGAAGATTTCTGGAATGCAGTTTACCGCGTCGGATAGACATTGAGGGCCGAGACTTTGGGAGAATTTTACCTAGGGTTGTAGCGTTTTAATGTTTTCAAAGGATTTAGGCACTGATCCCGAATATTTTGGGACGCCACGAGACAGAAAAAGATAAAACGCGTTACGTTCATTTATTATGTATGACGCTTACCGACACCGACGTATCCCTTAAGACCGCCGAGGTTCCGAACTCGAAATATTCCTGATTTTTTCAGTCCGCAATTGATAGACAGCCCAAAATCCGTTTCCAAAACACAGGTCGAGTGCACGGACGCCATTCCTATAAAACAATGTAAAATGTTAGTTCCGCTTTTATAACATGTTTTATAATCGCTATATAACAGCGATTATTATAATCGAAACACGTACAACACTGAATATACAGCGTTCGTTGCATTCAGAGTTGGGTAGTACCACAGTCCAGGCCACGGACATGTGTATCAAGTATACAGTTATAAATGGGGTCCGTACTCTTTTAGTTTATGCAACGCATCTTGTATCAAGATACTTTTTTTACGGTATCAATGTATGCGTCGGTGTTAACGGACACAATGTACGCATAACGAAACTGAAAATAAAATAATTACCAATTTGATTCGATAGATTGGGCAAGCAAGCAATTTATTATAATAATTAACTTTTTTTGTTTTTCCAACAAACGTCTAAATAATATACATTATCTATATCGGTTAACGACGCGTAATGTGTCGGCCGTACTGAGTCGTAACCGAAGTATTGGCTGAACCGACGTTCGAATTATAAAATCTCAAAAAACCGAAAGCATCCGGTACGCATTTTGTACGTTCGACACTCGTGCGCGTGTATCGCGTGTCATTGGATCTCCTCTAGTTTCGCAACGCTACCGTACGCCCCGTGCGCGAGATGCACGAAACGAACGCGGTGACTGGCGCAACGTCATGCGCGTATCGAGAAAACGCGCGTTGCAACAGAACGCGTTTCAAACCGTCTTCACGGGTGTGCGGCTGGGCGACGAACGGGCAGGTAAACGGGTACGGTTTTGGGCGGGTGAAAGTCGCAATACCAGAACCCGCGACCGCTGTACGTCACCGTGAATCGACAACAAATATCGGCATTGTTGTTTTGCGCGTTGTTCACGCGTGCACCGGCTTGTTCGCGCGCATTATTATCGTTACCGCAGTTCCACGCGCCGATATTCGTAATTAATAATTCTATTTTTTATTTATTTTTTTTTTCATCCATAACGATACACACAATTATCATAACGCGCCGCGTATTGCAGCCGCGCAATGCAGGCGCACTCACTCGTGTGCGATCCGCGCGCGGCGCGCGACACGCACGCCGCTGTTGTCATTGTATCAATGCCCGTACCCGTACACGTTTTGCCGCGCGTCCGACTTTCGACGTCTAGACGCCGAACCAGCCGAACACGCGTTGCGCACACACGCCGGTTGTTGCGCTGTAGGTAATATAACATTGGAAAAACGGAAAAACGAGAAAAGAAAAAAAAACGAATATAGCGAAATAGCGGTTATTTTTTTGTTTTTTTATCGCGACAGACGGTTTATACCGGCGTGTTCGGCGTGTTTAGAAACCCGCGTTTGCGCGTTATTTTACTCCGGTACCGCGACGCGTTCGGACGCTGCACGGTGACGGTGTCGTGACGACAGCGCGACGGCACGTGCCGCAGTCGATACGCTCGGGCGAAGTTGCCGGTGCTCGTGTTGCATACTTTACGCGCGTAAAGGTTTTCGCGCGAGAAAAAAAACCATCAATACCACGGTTTTATTCGAACCAACGGCATCGCGGCATCGAAACGGAATTACAAAAATATCGCGACAACGCACGTCGTTTAATCGACCCGAACGGTGTGAACATTCATAACTGCGAGTATTTTTTTTTTAGTCGCCACGCGCAGCAGCTAGTCGCATTGTGCACAATGCACGTATACTGCAGCGAATGCACCGATGCAAGATTGAACAATGCGATTTTATATTCTGCTGCGTACAGCGAGAAATGCATTGGGGGTCGTCGGGTCGTCGGTGTCGTTTTTTTGTTCCACCGGAAATCCCGCTCCGTTCGTCGAGTGTATCGTGTTTTCAAAAAAAAAAAAAATTATTAAATTAACAACCGGGAAAAACGTAAGACAAACGGATAATTTGGGCGGCAACGTGGAAAACCCCACTCAGAATCGTTTTTTCGCTTGTTACGATTTATCGTAGCAGTGTCGCAATTGTTTTTGGTTTTTTTTTTTTTTTCTACGTTCGTTATCCATCGGGATTACTATTATTAATTAAATTCAGTCTCGCCACCGCGACGACGACGACGACAACGGCGATGACGATGACGATGACGACGACGACGACGACGATGATGATGATGACGATGATAACGATGATGACGACGACGACGACGACGACGACGACGACGACGACGGTGATGATGATGACGGTCGAAATAAATCAAATAAGCGCGTTCGGTATATTATAATAATAGTTCGCCGCGCCGTCTATGGATGTCGCTCGTATTATGATAATGTTCACAATTAACCAGACGGATGTCGGGAGCAGCGGCGGGACAGATACTGCGATATTGTTATTGAATGCGTTTAGTGTAGCGGAAACCTGCGTATAAAACACGCGCGCGTATATATTTTACAAATTGCGTATTTAAGCGGCTCGTAGATAACGAAAACCGCGCATAACGGGGCAATAAACGCTGCGAGGCGGCGAAACTACGCGCACGTTCGCGTCGTTCGGCGTCAATGCCAAATCGGGCGGCGGGCCCCCGCGGAAAAGCGAACCGCTTTGGGCGGAAATGAACGCGCGGACGGTATTGAACAAAACGGCGGTCGCGCGTCACGCCGCCGGTGCGACGGGTACGACGGCGGCGCGGCCGTTTCCCGCCCGAACGCGCGGCCGCGCCGCGTTCAAGCGGCACCGACGTCGGCGCTGCGCGCGCGCGCGCGCGTCACCCCGTGCGTCTCGCCCGTCGACATACGTACCGTTTTAAGAATTCCGAACGTTAAATTAATACCCCGGCGTACGGGTATAACGTGCGCGCGCGCGCTTTTAAGTTCCCGCGCCAACGCGACGAGCGCGCCGCAGGACCACGGCACCCCGCGCCGTCAGCGAAACTTTTCCGTCAGAAATCTCGAATCCGAACCGGAAACTTTACAAGGACCCGCCCCCGCCCCCCGAACGGTTTTGCGGCATCGTTGTACCGGATAGTGCGCCGAGCGGGTTCGTAATTGGGTTTTGGTGACTCGTAGTGTCCTTTGATAAACCGACGAAACCGGCGATTTTTAATTTCCGATTAACCGCGGCGACAATAATCATCATTAATATTCACAATCGTTTTCCGCCAAAAGGTGTTTATTACAAATATAAATTAAAATATATTTTACGAATTTCAACTTCCCTTCTAAAACAATTGCGCGCCAATAATTAGCAGTATTGTTTAGTCTTTTTTTTTTTTTTCGTAATTTAACGCGTAAACGGTAACTATGGTAGACTGCTTACTTATAGTGTAGAAAACAATGCGAATGTATACAGTTAAATGAATGCGCTAACGAATTGGAATTACTATCTTGATAGTGTGACAATGGGATTTTGAAATTAAAAACGATTAATTTTTGAGCAACTAGTCGCATACATTACCAGTCGATATCTGGACCAGTGTAGTGGCGTGAACGGTGGAACGCGGTTGCATTACGATCCTAAATCTAAGGGGCCTTACTGCCTTTCCAGAACACTGTTTCACTGTCATAAGTGAAATTATTTACGTGTTAAAAAAATAAAAATAATAATCCCATATCTCGTATTATATTATCTACAAGTTGATACCGTTCGAATCAAAGATTACAGCGAAACTCGGCTTAACGAACACCCGTCTATAACTTACATCTCTCTTATCGCACAACATTCTGAGGTCTCGGCAAAAAGACAGGGGTTTCCGCGTATTTCGACCCGTCCGTTACAAAACGCGGACTGTGATATTTTGTTGATAAAGGATATCAAAGAATAAACTCGCAGATAATAATATTTTATGGTATATACAATATTTGAGGGGAAGGAATGCCCGTAAGGGCGAAGTACCTCCCCCGTTGTATACTATACAACTCATTATCTTTTCGAAAAAATAAACAATAGTAATAATAACGTCATTCCAAAAATAAATAGGAATTACCAACCATTACTTTTTGATAACGATTACGACGTGTTGTAAAGTATGAAAATATGTATAATGTATCTTATCTTTTTTTAACCAGAAATAAACACCATTACGCGTTATATTATGCAATATGCAGTGTGTAAAATCTGTATTCTAATTCTATAACTATTTATGATTTACTTTTAGATTCTGAGCGGAGCGAGGAATGTATTGGTTTTACAATGATGTTTATTTTTTTTATATGAACACTTTTTATACCAGAAAGCTTACTCCGATTATCAGGTATAGCACTTTTTCTGTAATGAAATTTTCTCATAGTGATACTTCAGAGAGGTAAATTTTTGAAATTCTCATTTACATTTGAGATAAAGAGAAAAACCTGATTCTTTAGGTTAAAAAAATGATTGAAAGATTAAAAATAAGGTTGTCATTGGCAACCGTTTTTATTTATTTTTTGTTATTATTAAGTTTTTTATTATTTTAATATTGTTTACATATATACATTAAATTCCCGTCTGTATCCTACATTCTCAACTTTCCACCCACATGCGAAGTATGTCCGTACTTCCTTTTTGCTTTGTTTTTTTTTTTTTTTGGCTATTTCAATACGACCTGTATACGAACACCTGTCTATAACAGACATTTTTTCTGGTACCGACGGGTTTTATTGTATACATTTATGAATAACGAAAACTAATATTATCGAATTTAAAAGTTCGTAAAAGTAAAACTTTAACTGTTATTATAAATAATATATATATATAACTGTTAACAAATTATATGCCTATACACAAATATGTATATTAGATATGTCGATTTATTTATTAGATACAGAAAAAAAAAAGACTAAATAAAATACACTGTGCTATAAAACCAAGAGTATATCTTTACACGCTCCTAGTTTTATCTTTTTACATTTCGACTTAATAAGAAAGGGGCCCTTTAAATTGTACGCATTTGGGCCGAATTTCTATAATTACGCCACTTTGCCTGAACTATCATGGTGTGAACGCCTAGACAATTATGGCTATTAGGCTATACCTCGCTGTATATTGCTGTATTTTATCAGGGGGATGAGGGGTACATACCCCCATTAAGTCATATATCTTAAATTTGTATAACAATATAGAGAATGATATTTTTAATGATCAGTATTGGTATGGTTAAATTATGCACAAATTCAAATTCTGATATTTGGAATTTTTAAGTGTATTTTCGAATACTTAGATTTTTCACATCATTTAAAGCGTATCTTGTGGCGATACCAACTTTAGTTTTTCTAATGAAAACCTACATGTTTAATGCAAATTATCAATTGGACGATTTCTCTGAAAATGTTGACGTATTTTTATCGAAATTAGAACAAAAAATGTCTGAGTTATTCTACTTTCAATACTAAAGATCAATAACTGCACGATAATTCAACACAAGAAATTATTATCTGTATAAATGGAACAGTTGGTATCCAATCCCCATAAAATTCCCCATATTATTCTTAGTATTTAAAACAGAATAATTCAGAAACATTTAGTTCAAATTTCATTTACAATACGTTAAAATGTTAAAAAAAAAAAAAATCATTAATTTGCATCAAAACTTGTAGATTCTGATTTAAAAAGATCAATATTCTTATCAATCCATTATAATCTTTAAAATTACTCCACTATATTTAATGTTATGAAAAACCTAAGAATGCAAAAATATCGTCGTTCATTGTACTTAAAAATTCCAAAAAAAACATAATATGAATTTGTGCATAATTCAACGTATAAATGAGGTAAGCATGTTTAAAAAATCGCCCCTTTATATTATATTTCTCTATAGTTATAAAAAAAAAAAGGTGGTGTAAATAATAACGCTTCTTAAAAACTATTCTTGTTTCAGCTCACCCCTCCCCCGAAAAAATCATTTGACAGCCACTGTGTTCTGTATCCGGTGTTTGGGTTGCTTAAACGAAATCATTTAAAATATTATCTAGATGACGATAACTATCTTTTATCCAGATAGAACAGAAATCACACTAATATTGCAAAAAACCGTATAGATTAAAAAAAAAAAAAAAAATATGTATATAAAATGTAATCCGCTGTACACTTTGTTCAAAATAAATGCACGTCCAAAATGAATAGTCCCTATACGTTTTCTACAAAACGTGCATGCACAGGAACACGTTTTAGTTATTTGAAAATGATGAGAAATCGAGTAAGCGAAGGGGGAGAGGGATTGTGTGCTGCGTTTGACCGGGAAGACATTCTCCCCGGTAAACGCAAACGCATATCAATGGTAACGTTCTCGAATATTGTATTATGTTATACAAGCCGGGTTTATAAAATACGCTCAACACCAGCCCAGTACAATATTGCTATCGTTATTATTACGCGAATAGATTCCGTTTGATTGTGACGCTCTGGAAATTTCGCTCGGCAAACGCGCGCGAAACTTTTCCCGCTGTTTATTTATTCGGATTTAACACCGAGTGACGGTGCGCAGACTTGTTTAATTCGTAATAATAACAACACGAGTATAAGGCCGACCCGATAGTATAACAACACCGCACTGGCGCTGCTGCCGTTGTACGTACGTCACACATAAAATATATTGTACAGGTACGGGACCGTATACCTATATTGTTTCGAAAAACCTCGAGCCTGTCTGTGTCACGCACGACATGACTCGAGTAGACGCTCGGTGGTTTTTTTTTTTTTTTATTTATTCATATTCACACGACTCGACGACGGGACGCGGGACACTGCGAGAAGTCCGTATGAAAGTTCGCAGAGTATTTTGGTACACGTACACGATTTTCGTTTTCGAGTTTCGCGATTTAAACGACGCGCCCCGCGGAACCGGTCGTTCGTTTTAACACAAATGTTTACTTTTAGCGCGTTTTATTTTCATTGTTATTAGTTAGGTATGTACCGCAAAGTACTTTATGATTTTGTCCGTGTCCGTCCGTCGGACCGTACGCGCTCTATCGCTCAAACGATTGCGAAGTTTGGAATGCGGTTTTCACCGAACGTATCGTTTGGCTATAAAAAAATAATAATAATAATAATAATAAATGGAAGGCTGTTGTCGTTTCATGCTACCGACACTAATATTTAAAAATGTGTTTACACGAAAAAAGGATTGTAGCTAAAATCAATGTACAATATTAAACGACAGTTTATACATGCAATGTACATACAACAGAAGTTGTTTACCACATTGAGAGCTTACGTTGCCGCGGTACTCCGGTTCGCGTATCGGTTTATTAAGTTTAAGCTCGTCGAAACCGCCTGTTGCAAACTTGGGGAATAACCGAGGGCGGTTATAGGACTCATGGTTCGTACAGGCGTGAATACACTTATAACTTATAAGTTAGTCATTGGGGCAATATAAAGCTAACCCACGGAGGAGAAGACGGGACGCTTTCCTCGTTCCAAAAATAAACGAACTAATAAATTTAATACATTGGACTTTAAATCTATCGAACAAAATATTTCCTACAGTTTTGTCTGCCGTTTGGGTTTAAACCGATTAAAATTCACACCGTCGTCGATTCCCTTAAAAGTATGAAATAAATTGTATTTTATTTTTTATATTTAAAACGGAACGAGCCCAATTACATAATAATTAACACGGAAATTTACAATATTTAAGATTAATGTTTTTATTTTAGAACATTCGTGTATTTTTAATATGGTCCAACTTTACTGTACGACTTCAGTTGTACTACACAGTGCACGTCTTGTTCACCCTTAATCACCCGGATGTTTCCTGAGGCAATCAGTCGTCGAGAACGAATCCGAATCGAGCGGTTTCTATACGATCACGATACTCGGGTTTTTTTTTTTCAAATATATATATAATGCCAACTCAAGTATCTTATTTTTGTAATTAGGTACCTGTCCGTCTAAAAAAAAAAAATGTGTGAAAAATAAATAAATCGTCGCGCATTATTCGGCATAAAATAATCCATCGACAAATATCGAATATTGTTATTCTCGTTTATTCTTTGGAAATCAGCAACACGACACATATAAATAAATGAGTGGGTATAAATTATTATATTTACGTCGGTTTGCGCCAAAAAAAAATTTTCGTTCGGTTCACGTGGTTCAATTATGTCGATACACCGCGGTGATTTATAATAGATACCGTACAACCCATTATGCAGGCGCTATAGGTGTTTAGAAACTATTCATTTCACGCCGAGGATATATCATTACATATTATTTGCCGAGTGTCTATGACAGGCGTATGCCTATGTGCGACACTCGTCGGTTATTTCGGTTTGCTCACGGTATTTTAACGCTAACACATAATATTATTTTCCGGCACACCCGGTCTTGATTATCCGGCCGCGCGTATCGAAACTACGTATATAATAACCGTTTATAAATCTGTGAACGGATCTCGTCCTTTATTTCATTTATCCTTCCGCATCGCCCACCGCGTTAATGATACGGTACCTATTGTTGTTCGGCAAGTTAATGAATAATATTAACTCGGCTAAGTTAAATGGACTAAAAGTTAATGGGTTACCGCCGTAAAGATAATACCAGCGGCTCAACTAAGGAGGATTTTCGGGATTATAAATCCTTCACTACCCCTCGAAATTTAATATTTTTTTTTTTTTTTTTTAGAATTCTATATACGTAAAACGTATAATGTGGTTTCGTAATTTTTTAATTATTATTTTTTTTTTCGCAATTTCAGACACTTCCTCGTAATTTCGAATTCGAGTACGCCGTGCACTTTACCAATAATTAGTAATTTATTATTCTGAATACCTGCCTAGAAATTTGTTTCTTAGTTTCATAATTCCCCTTGAAAATAAACCCCGGCCATGCCACTGGATAATACAATATAATAGATAGCACACGTCATGTGTTCAACGTCATAAAATGTTCTATCCCATTTGCCGATAAATTTATTTTTGTTCAATGACTTATTTGTTTTTGCTATGTATATAACGGAAACTAGTTGTATGCTTTATCGGCGAACTAAACGGAAGCTCCAGAAAAGTCTGATAACGAATATATTATAATATATTTATTATATTGCCTATCCACTTTATATTATCTATGGTTAATACGTTGGAAGTAACTATTGCGTTGTATATTACTTAAGTCAAATTCATTTTTATTATTGTTTGTTTGTCAACATTGTACCCGGCACATAGTGAAAATGATTAGATCTAGAGTTTGTGATTTTTTTTATTATTATTTTTTTTTTTTTTAGTATAAGGATAGCTGATGTAAAACACGTGGGGTTATATCGTAAAACAATTTATCTCCTTCAAAGAAAAGAAAAATCAATACTTGTTGTTTAAATACGAAAGTACTCAAATAAGGGGCTCAGAATGTAAATTTATTATTTTGTTAAAATTAAACGAAATTTAAAATTAACTCTTGACTATTTATTATATAAATGTAAAAAAAAAAATTGTAATTAATAAATAAAATCGAAGGTCGAAAATTCTAAATATAATGTTAATGGTAATACACACCGTTGGTTGTTTCTAATGCTGCTTTTTTTTAATTGATAATTCGTTCTATTATCTCGATTATTGTAGCAAAACTAAATAATTGTTCAGGCAACCGTAAAGATTTATTTACTTTTTGTATCCAAAATAATTATAACAATTTAAAGTCATATGCATTAAACATTGATATACTTTTTTTTCTCGTTATTTCCTTTTTAGGTAGCTATACGAAGTTTGGAATTTTTGCCCGTGGCCAAATTTTAATAAATACAATCGTACGCATGTGTCTGTATCCATGCCACGTTTTTTTTTTTTTACAATGCACCTACTTATGGTGTATAACGGTATTATTTTAGTTTTTCGAAATCAACAAAATTAACGGGTAACATAAATTTGTATTGCCTGTACACAATTAAAACGAGAAAATATACTACTGCATACATAACAGTCCTAACCGAAAACCAAAACTCTCGGCGTATTATTAGTAGATACACAACATATAATTCGCTCAATGATATTATTGATATTTTCATTCTAGGTCGTTATTTTATTCCGTTTTTCGTTGCGTTATTTGTTTTAAATACACTCCAAATTACCCGAATACAGTGTCCAATTGTGACCGCTGTATGCACATACTATTATGTAACATATACATACTATACTACAATAATGATGTGTGGAACCAATAACAATGAGTACACAAATTGCCTACCGAAAGACCGATTGCGTTATTTTAAGCCGTGTACAGACGGGTCATTTTTAAAGAGATCTTTTCTTTTTTTTTTTTTTTTTCGTAAATGTAATATAGAAAATGTATTATATCATAACTATACGAATTTACAAAATGCATACAAATGTGTGATATAAAGATATAAATAGATGCAGATATAAATATTTCATTTATAGTTGAGTAAGAAAATTATTAAGTTACTATCAATAAACCGGCTAATGTGGGTGTTTATTAGTTAGAAAGTACATATTAAAAAAAAAAAAAAAAAAACAATACTTTAACTCGGGGTCGTGGTAATATGAATTACCGTTAAATATCTTTCTTAAATTCTACGCTTAGATCTTACAAATCACATATTTGGGCTCTTAAACGATGTATTAGGTACGATGAAAATACGAAATTAAATACAGCGCCGCTCTTAGTGTACAAGTGCTAATCGAAAGTAACCTAATCATTACAGGCCGGCTAATAATATTACGATGATGAAACGCTCAAGGCTGTTTTATACGAGTATATTTAATAAACAATAATGTCCGAGTCGGGATAATATAATAATTACTAATATTTACAGCCACCTCTGCCGCAGTGAATTTCTAAAATAATAATTAAACAATTAGCTCCGTGCAGAAAACGACTTAATGTATGTAACCGACTGCATACCGTTCGGTCTAAGGCATAGGTAATAAAATAATGAGACCTTAACACGTGGAGACAGTGGAGCCGTAATAAGGATTGGTAGGGGGCTCAATACGTTTTTGATTGAATCGTGGACGTAGTTAAGGGGGGTTTGGAAGTTTCGAAATTCCCTACCAACACGAATTTAGAAAAGCGTTCTCAACAATACGTATATAAATATAATACTTTAAACAAGTATTGATAAAAATAAATCTCGATGTTGTAAATATGATATGTATAGTGTCTTGGCATTTACTGTAACTATACTTACTATACACCCATCGGACAGCTACATCCTCCTAGGAGAATTTTGAACAAAAGCAGCATAATTATACAATTTACATTAATGTTTTATTTTTTGTACGGCTAACACACTGAGTCCATTTTATGACATACTGTTCCCAGTCCTGGATTAACGTATAGGTGAGGCAGGAGCGAACCCAATGCTATGCAATAACAGGGGCTATTTTATAAACACGGTACATATGGGCTTAGTCCCTGTAGCTCCTTTTGTTACTCCCCTTTATTGAACATAAATGATAAATACTCTTACTAGAGTGTGAAGAATTGGTCATTAAGATAGAAGTGACTGATCTAGCCAGTATTTTATTATTAAACCTTTAGGATACATCTATACAAAATAAAACGTTTTGCAATAACCAATAAAAGTTTTAGCGGAATCCCTCCCCTCCCTAACACAATATTCGAGCGCGGATATTGCAGTGTTTAAAATTTAAATAGGCGGTAATAAAAACAACTCGTTTAAACTTTCTCGATTCCGGTGAAAACCGCGAGTCGAACGAAAATACGCTTTTTAACGGGCTCAGCTGCCCCAAGTAATTGCGTGCTATATTACACACGTTAAGATACGATTAGCCTGTGGGTTGTATTATACCTATTATATAAACTGGGTAATAATTACAAAAACAATTTTAATACGAAATCTAGAAAATGTTTAAAACCCAAAAATTACAATAAAGGTAGTTTGTATTTGATGTTACGAAAACTGCATGATCATCACGTGAACGTGTATAGGCAATATACTTAAATTATACAATAGTGATACGACACAGTGTGTCGTGTAAAATATCTATAAAAAAAAATTAAATAAATATCCTTTATTCGTATTTACAGACACGAATATTCCGTGTTCGTTGTGTGTTGTTAACAACGAAAACAGATGACTACACGTTGTGTTCAAAAAACGGCAGTTAATACAAACAAACAAAAAATGTCAAAACTATTACAATTACTTATGTTTTTCATTCGCATTCCACGATTAGAATCCTACGACGTATTTTTCGCACTTAAATCATATTAAAACTGTCATCCTGAACGTGTACAATAAATTATATTTGTGTTTTTAACCGCGGTTACTGCGAAAGTCTACAGATGTATAAGCGTGATTTTTACGCGCTCATGACGCAGAGAAAGTGCGAGGAATGATGACGTTTTCGGAGTGTGGTCTATACACGTAAATCGATAGCAAAAAACGGGGAAGGCGTGAAATGCGAATTGTAGGGTTTTCGATTCGGAATTATTATCCTTTTAGGTGTACGACTATAATCTAATCTAACTCGGAGACTCGAATTTATTGTTTGAATCTCGGCAATATAGGTGAAAGAAAAAAATTAAAAACACGAGCCGTAATAAATAGGAGTAACAGAATAGCCAAAAAGAAAATATGATAAAAAGCACTCTGTGTCAAAACATTGTCCAATGGGAACAGGGACAGACAACTGGGGAGTTAATAAAAATAGATACCTAGTTCAATCGAGCGATAAACAAAAAGTAGTCTTCGGTTAAAAGTTGGTATGCGAAAAAATGTCAAATTAATTCTTAAGTAAGTTAAAAAAAGTTAATTTTAATGACTCGTATTAGCCTAATAAATTGACTGCACGATATTTGTAAAAATCAACCTTCGCTCAATTTTTTTTCGGACCACTGATTACAACTTACGATGAACAAATGTTCAAGTATTTTTGATACACCAAATCAAAAAATAACTAATCTAAATCTAAAATAATGAAATCGTTGGTTACGTAGACTTTTCCAGTTTTCTGAGCTTTTTCAGTTGTTAAGAAAAATAAAAGGATAATGAAAAAAACAGCCTCCCAATAAGCCAACTAAAACTGAGATACTACAAAACAGCTCTTTTGACATTTTTGATTGGAACAAGATTGGGAGAAAAAGAAGAATCGGAACAAGAAAAATGTGAGTGGCTTATGGGTTATATTTTAGCCGAAAATATAATAACCGACAGTATTCAAGTCAACAAATATTTTGCCCAAACCGTATTTCAGCTAACAAATATTTAATCATTATTACACTGTTGTTATAGTTATATTATAGTTGCTATTGAGTTATGCTTACAGTAATAATATGTCATATGTTTATATGTATTGTATAAAATCCTAACCTTGAAAATTTCGATGGAAATTCTAATCGTTTTCGTGTAAATGAGCGGGACATTGGCAGGAGGCCATCGGAAAGGAAGTGGTCCAAACTTATCTCCTAAAACCGCGATTTTATCTATTATTATCTTTAATCGGAGCGCCGGCTAAAATGCTGTTGGCTCAAATACGGTTCTGGCAAAATATTTGATGGCTGAAATAGGATTTTGCTTTTTTACGCGTTCCTGAAAAATGGATCGCAGACACAAAATAACATAATAAAATCAATACATTCCTTTCTCGTAGACTCAAAATCTAAAACGCTCGTAAAATATTCAAAATATTGTACTTTTCATAACAAGTCAAATATAATAAATTGATTACGATCAGTTCCTAATTCAACCGGATTTGAACAAAAGTTTTTCTATATATTGCCTAGGTAATGGTTATTACCAATAAATATGCAGTATTCACTATTCAAGTCATTGACATAGTCATTTTTGTTGATCACCGGACTGTTGTGCGGAGATTCGGCATGACGGAACAACTTCACTAAGACGTCATATTACAATATTGCTTTGTGGTTCACGAATATTTACTTTCCCCATTCCGACGAAAAACCGACGGGAAAGTGGGAAACAACGATGAGACGACATGTTAGACTCGTTACGACCGGTTTGGGTGTGTGTCGCGTCTCGTTGCGGTTTATTTGAACGCAAGTGCTATAATAATAACATCTCACGACACGTGTTTATACAAGGTGTATTATATTATCGTATGCCGGCAGTTCTATGCTGACGTATACATTTTTTTTTTCTTTCTTGTGTGTGTGCGTGTGTTAATAAATTAGAATCGTTTAGTATTGATTTTTGCAATAATTTCTAAATTCCACTATTATTCCAAATAGATGCCACAAACATTAAACGTATATTATCAACTTCTAATTTAAATTTATAAATCACATTTCTACACTCGGATTCGTAAAGTGAAGGGGTTTTTCATAACGTGAGATATGCGAATTTTTAACGAATCAGAATTTCAAAATATACGATTTTATAATTTTAATGTCTGGTGGTTCAAATAATAAAAACCCTGAAGATTTTCGGGAGAAGACCTGTTTACTCACTGGAAAAAAAAATGTAAAACTTGATAGGTACTATTTGTGGATAGGCCACTCTTGTAGGTAGATATAGTTCGGAAAATAGGATATACAGTTTATATATTGTATGCAACGGTAAATTCTTGTAAATAAAAAATTTATTCTGAGTAGAGTAGTATTAGTTGTGGTTTTTCCCTTCACACCAATAAGGTAACTAAAAATATAATAATCAAAAAAGAAGAACTTAGAGATGAACTGCAGAACATCTCGAAAAATGTCTCAAATAAAGTACCATCAGTTGAAAAATTTGCATCTTTTTAAGTATGATATAAAAAAAAATCTGAGCATTTTTACTAATTGTACAAACGTTTTCCAAGAAACGAAAAAAAATATGTAAAAACCATAACTTCTTTGTTATACTTAGAATTTAAAATTAAAAAAAAACATTCATCAAACTAATATATTATTTTTACTACGCTCAGAATCTAAAATAATCAAATAGTCAATTTAGTATTAAATATGCACATGCTGCAATGTTTAAGACTTTAAGACTTTAAAACAAACCTGTACAGAAACTAATAGTAATTATTTTATAAAGCCACGAAAGTATTCGAAACTCCACTAATATATTCATGTGACTAATAATTCATATCTACCTTTTATGTTAAAACTACTAACTATCGATAGAAGTACTACGAAGACCGTTTTCAAGGAAATAATATATTACACATGCTATTTTCACACAGGTACCATATTGGTAATAATAAACCGTGTTCGTCCGCATAAAATTATTAAAATGAAATAATCATAATGCATGCGGTCAAAAATCGAAAGATAAAATTAAATTTAAAAAAAAAATCTGTTAGTTTTTATTATTAATAAACTACAAAGGTGACTGGATGTCTGGATCGACAATAGCTACAGAAATGAAACAATAACACCAAATTCATAAACTGTAACTGTACATTATAGTTTTTTTTATGTAATATATCACATGATCATAATGTAGCTACCTACCTACTAAAATATCTCCGAATATAAAAAAAAAAAAAATATACCGATATACTTTGCACGATGGGTGGGCTACTGTTGTAAATGAGAAGTTGGGAAGGTAGAATATGTATAGAGGGGAATTTAATGTACATCTGTGCGTAACGATTAATCATTGCTAACCAAAAACGATTCTGAGAGAAATTCGGTTACACATGTTTTAAAAGGCCGTAATATTTTCGATTTTAAAATAATACATTTTGTAAATTTTCCTACGTTTTTTTGGTTTTCCCCGTTTATTATGACAACCCTTCGAAAAACCAAAACATGTGATCCTTAGAGTATCATCCCAGTCAAAATTTCCCAGAAAAATGCTACGTTTGAAAATCTGAGCAAAATGTCTGGTAGAAAAGTCGTTTATAGAAAAAAAATAAATAAACATCAATGTAAAACTCCGCTCAGAATCTAAAAAACACCCAAAGTGTTTAAGAGAAAAAAAATTACACGCCAAAACAATGCGAATTATACACCGACTTTTTTTTTTACATAATAATAATTCATAATTAAGAACGAAATACGGTCGAATAATACAGGAATGATTTTAAACAAATCGAAACGCGCAAGAATAAAATGTATTAGCAATATTATAATAATAATATTAGTAATAATATGTGTGCATAATCGATTTTTTTTTTATTTTTTTTTTTTCATATGAGGTCGATTCGGTATACGGGTGGTACTTTATACTATTTACTAATTAGTTTCCGCACGGTCCACAAATTTAATTAAGCATTTTACTAATTTCTACCGGTTTATGTGGTGGAAAAACCGTTTTAATTAACTATACGAATAGCGCACTGTGCACGGCATCACTGTAAATAATAGCCCGTGTACGAATTCTCAACATTGACCTGGTATAACTGTAAGACACCTACTCGATTTTAATAAGACCCGACGTAGAAAAAAATAATAATCACCGTGTTATAATTAAAATATCATTTCAGCGGTCTTATACACCTAATAATGTGTAATAACAATATGGTATATTATAAAATATGCGTGTTGTTCGTCCTGAGAATTCGTTGTTCTATTACCGTAAGTACATAATATTATAAACGTGATATTAGGTTAGGTTAAGAACTTCGAATTAGATAGAAAAAAAAACATTTTAGGTTCTCAGCGCAGCGATGAATGTATCGGTTTTACTACGATTTGTGCTTTTTTCCGTTTGTTAAAAATAATCACTCTTTTACCAGAAATCTTGCTCCGAAATTGAATTTTAGCGTTTTTAAATTAAATTCTATTTGGTTGATTTATTACCGGGAGGTTGTTTTTTTTTGTTATTATTATTATTTTCCTTTTAGTTTTTATAATTTTTATAATAATTGGGGAAAATCGGGAAAAACCTAGAAAAACAGGAAGCTTACAGAAATAATAGTTTCATTATTTCCGATTATTTTATTATTATTTTTTTTTATTTTTTTTTGTGCAATTCGGTTAAAAATAATTAAAAAGCAAAAGTGGTAGAAAAGTCTTTCTTCCGACGGCTGTAACATATTAAATTACATTTTTCAATATTACAAAACTAACAACATAACACAATACAAAGTGATGTTGTTTGAAGAAAACTGTACGTACTTAAAAAAAAAAAAATCACTATGTGTAAATCATTATTGTAGTGTTAGAAAACATTATTGTTTAATAAGTTAGAACCGTCAGTGGAGAAAATTTCAAACTCCTCTAACGTTTTAAGATTTTTAAGTATTTTTTTTAAATGTTTTTTTCAGAGATTGTTGACCTTTTTAAGCCCTATTTTTCCCGACAATACCAATATATTATTATCCTGCGAGACCGGTTTTCGAATTATCGGAGACCGAGAATATTAATTCTTTATGAAATAGTATTACCCTCTTTACCTAAACTGCCAAGAGTTCATAATACGTATGTTGCTATACAAACCACTACTATACGTAGTGTACGTGGAATTCGGTTCAAAGATCACGAATGCGGTTTTACTATAGTACGTACCGCAAGACGTTACTAGGTTAGTATTTCGTAAGACGTGTCCGAAGAATCTGTTAACCGAGTTATCGGAGTAGGACGACGAATTATTATAACGGTCGTCGGGCGTCGCATCGCCGTTGTCGTTTAACCTAACGTGTACACTGTACAGGTTCCGTCTACTGTAATTGTTAAATTTCATCAATTTTCAATTGTATTTAAATCAAATTATTTGTACAATACAGTGCATACTACTTGCATGTTTGTACATTATTTTACATAAATCGCAAGCAATAGCAACAAAACGAAATTCGTGTACCTATGTCATATACGTTGTTTTTGGGAGAAATTGAATTGGACTGATTTCTACTAATATAAATTCTGCCAATTAGTATGTAAATTCTACTAATATAAATAATTTACTCCCACAGATAACGTCCTCGACGTCCTTTTGAGGCTTAATACAATATAAAGGCCAAATTATCTATCTTAACTCAGTTAATTTAAGTTGATTTTAAAAATGCTAATGAGTTAAGACATTAAAAGCTATTTTGAAAATTTAATTAAGCCAAAAAAATACATAGTTTTCAAAATTCTAATTTTTTTTTTTAAAATAAGGATTGTCGAATGAATCGAGGAGCGTAGCAAATGTATAGTAAAGTTTCAATCGCTTTCTCCCCTCTCCCTCACCCCAAAAAAATTTAAATCGGAACAGAAATGTATTGTTTATACGACGGTTTTAATATACGAACATATTATATGAATATACACATCCATAATATATAAAATTCGTATAATGTGTAGATTGTAGATTTTAACAATAATTATTTTATTCAAGTCAATAAAAACAGGAATTAACTTTATGCGATAAAATTTAAAATCAACTTGTTATTTATTAAACGATGTAAACAAAACAAGTCAAATTAATAGCTGAGTCAAAGGTTAAAATTAATTTTTAAACTCGTTAGTGTCCAGTATACACTATTAGTATTAAGAAAATAACGTGTCTTCGTATCAAAAAACGGCCAACATTTCTAAAAAAAAAATAGTAATTCGTTTTGTTCAGTTATAAGTATGGTTGAGTATAAGGTTTGGTTGTAAACGTGTTGCACATAACGCTAGCATACAACAATAATTGTACGTGTACAAAAAAATAAAAATACAATATTTGATAATGATTTACTGGGTAAGTACGTCCACAAAAATATTTTTACAGCGAACAAAACCAATTATGATTTTTTTTTTTTTTTTTTTTTATACTTTCTTCTATTATATTTTTTTACGCGATAACAGTACGTAAACAAATTAGGATATAACCAACTGTGAAGTTTGTACAACACGACTAATGGTATTTGCTTTGTCGTAATTCGCAATGTACGATTCCGTTCAAAAGTGTGTTAATAGTGGATACTGTGTTATTTTTTTCTAACACTTTGTATTTAACCAAATGTATTGTACCGAGTAGGTAGGTGTACGTAAGCTTTACAGTTTTTAATAAATTAAAGTATCCTTGGGACAAAATATCATCAACACCGTTGAATTGTGGATTTGAAGAGGTTTTTTTTTTTTTTTCATTGTTATGAAACTGCGTGTACGCAAGTATACATCATACATCTAACCAAAGTATTTTAAAACTATTGTTATTGTACAGATTACAACTTGTTTTTGAGATAATAAATTAAAATATTCGCGAATAGCTATAATATTATTCGTCCCTTTTAATAGGATTTATTTTTATGAGATTCGGAGAAAAATTTAATCAAATATTTCAAAATAGAAGTTCTTATACATTTAAAACAGGTTGTACAGACACTTTTCGGGTTTGTTATATTATTTCCAAATTTTAGACTACATTGTGCAAGATAATATCGTATAGTAAATTGTCGAGTAGTGTTTCATATTTACAATCAAATTGTCCATTGGGACAACTATACCTAACCTAACCTATAATGCCAAATATTCATTCGTATTACATAAGTAATAAATTGATGTAGGTGATGGGAATTTGGCAAAATTGATAATTTAGTTATTTATAAAAATTACTGAAAGCAATTGGGATAAATCATTGCAAGCAAAAAACGATTCTGAGTGAAGTAGTTTTCTCTTTTGGAAAAACCATAAGGAAACCGGTAAATAAAAAAAAAATCGATTTTGAGCCCTCGTATAAAAATATTAAAATTTAAAAATCCGGCTTCGAAATGACGTTATCGGTGCTTACAATCAGAAAACATAATACCATCACGGTTTAAAGTATAATATTTTCCGAGTTTTATCGAAGTTTTTTTTAATTGCAAAAAATAATAATATTATATATTATAATAAATAATCCGACAGAAACTGAAATGAAATAAATCAAAAGTTCAAAACAGTTTATTTTTTCCTCGGTGTTTCAAACGTTATTGCACGGCGTTTAGAGGTTTTCACTCTCACGATTAAACGGCATACATTTATTATAAAGTGAATTTTAATATTTTTGATCGATACATTTTACTTGTTCAGCAATTTCGTAAAAATGTCATAATACGTGGCCTCTTAAATGCCGGGCTGGCACAATAATATTTTCGTATAGCTATAATACTAACTACTAAACAAATTCGATTGTAGAAAATTGCATTAACATTGACATTGGAGAGGTTTTCTTTTAATAATCGGAAGTGCAGACGTCTAATCGGTCGAAATCGGTGTAAAATATATGGATATCGTTGTAAAATAATGCGCTTATAACGAAACGCATATACGGGTAATTAGATTACGTACAGATAAAAAATATACGTGTATTGTGCGTTACGGTACTTTCTCTTTGACCAATATACGATTATTACTTAGTGTTTTTTTTTTTTTTTTTTCATAATTTTAGACGAACACGCACACGGTGGGCGAGTACTTGCGACACGCGAACACTACGAATACACGAGCAAAACAGCGGCTCGTCTAAAATTAAAATAGATGGCCCAGGAACTAACCAATTATCGGTCAAAAATAACGAGTACGTCTATGATTCGGAAATTGTTTTCTTTTACTCGACGATCGAAATTGGATTATCAGCAAAAAAAAAAAAAAAAATTATACGAACCACAATGTATAATATTGTTTGTACTTAATTTTTAGAAGAAACGGAATAATATATAACTAATACATATATATATTTAATATAGTACAGTTACCTCAATAAAAATTTTAAAACTAAAATAATTCTTTATACCTAGGAGTTCGGCGTGACACACACTTGGTAAATTTTCGACACTGCGGATTTTTGTCACGCGTCATTCTCATCGATGATGCATCGGTTTTTAACTGATTCACACTCAAAATGATGTTACTAAGTACCTTCGACACAAACTTCATGTGTAGGTCTTTATGCGATGCGATAAAAAAACGCATGGCACAAACATTATTTTTTGATCGTGTATATTATAGTCGCTAAAATTATCGAATGTGCTAAAATTAACATAATCGAACAGTTAGGTTAGGTCTTATTATGACATTCAACAGGTGTCAATAATCCACTAAAGATTCGTTTGTGACTAACCAATGTTGTTTTATTGTCCAAACCATCCTAAACACGCCACTGGATGTATTTATTTTTGTTGAATAAGTCTCGAGTTGTGTCTATAGGAAAAGGTATCGGTGCACTGAGGTGCTATGACCATAGGGCGCAGTAACCAGAGAGGTACCAATGAAAATACTAAAACTTCTAAATTTGCAAAATTTTACAACGAACGTACGAGTGAACGCCGACGTACAGGTTTTTTTCTTTTTGTTTATCGGTATACATTTTTTTGGCACCGAGCGCTAATTTTTTTAGTTACGATTTTCCGAGGTGTGCGTCACCTGTGGATGATTGCTTACTCTGAATTTAGTGAAAACGTGCTTGATAGTGATGGTGACACCACAGAAAGGGCAAATTGGTGGACCATTAGAAAGCTGCGAGTTAATTTTTTGTGTCCGATTCGGAGACGTGGTAATATCACCTCGAACTTTCTACTGAATTTATTGGGGAAAGACCAGGAGTAGATGTCCCGTTTTATTTCATTGAGTTTAGTGTTCTGAGATACCCATAATTGATGCTATATCGTGAGATATTTATTTTAAATTTGATATTGGATGTCTCGGTGGGAGACTTGTTGATGAGTAGAAAATGGGAGAACGGATTTTTATCATAGCCTCGGCTGCGAGATAGTTTTAATATCAAGAAAGGTACGAAATAATTGTTTTCATATTCGTAAGCGTACACAATAGTAGATAGGTATATTCTTATCAGCGGGTGGGTCTCGACTGAACTCTGTCCAGCTACTGTTCGGGACCGATCTCCCAGCGAGTGGGCTCGGTAAAATAATTTCGTTTCACAAAACTATACACCACAATGTCTACGCGTCGTATTTAGTTTAATTATATCGCAAAATGAATAGCTTGCGTATATAAGTATTTTACTGCCAAAAGACGAAAATATTATTATGAAAAATAAGAGCTGAAAACGATCGAACTATAATACTATGTTTTTCATTAACATTGATGTTGTACTCTGTTGTGTACCTACGTTTTTTTCGTCTTTCATAGACGAATTGGCAAAAACTATATCAACGCCAGTGAAATTAACGAATCAACAGAAAATTGCATCTCGTTTATAATCGAAAATAGGTAGAGCTTGTAAATTACATAAATAAATAGATAAAATGTTATTTGTTGTCGACTGAGTAATTCTTTTTGTTAATAAAAAATTAACGAATGATGCGTATTCGAGTTAGAAAAAAAAAAAAAACAACAAACAAACAAACAAACGTTAACTCAAATGGATATGATTATGAAAATTATAACTCCGAGATCAATGAGAAATGGAAATCTATAGAAACATTCGTACCCACGCGACTTATACACCATTACAAACGCAAACCGAGGTCGAATGGTTCTTTTTTATTATTTTTTTTTTCAATGAAAATTTGACTTACTTTCAAATGTACCTATAATTATTATAATACCGCAACACACTATAACTTGTAGAGTTGTAGCACGCAGCCGAAAAATAAACGTGACTAGTACCTCCTAGATTCGATATTTTGGTTTAGTTTTTCTTATGTAAAAACAAAAAAAAAAAAAAGCCTAATATAATCGAATACACAATTTAACCAAAATTTAATCATTACTGTCCGCCTGTAGAAAAAAAAAAAATAAATATGAAATCCCGAGTTTATGCGCATTCCGTCCAGAAGGGCCGCTAAAAGTGTGCAAAAGTATAGTGGGAAAATAATACACAATAATATAATAGAAATAACACATAATACATGACAACAGACTCTATTTGAAGAAGAAAAAAAAAAACGTTTTGGAACCGTCGCAAATATAATTTTTTCTAACAATCACTATACCGGGTATTATTTACCATATCGCATAGCAAAAACGTTCTTCTTTATCGCGCACGAGAGCGACAATGAATACGAGTATTTTATAGTACCTGTCTGTGCGACACGCTGTATACGTAATATTGTTATTATCGAACGCGGTATCGTTACGGTTACCTATGGTAGATACGTCGTTGTGTGTATACCATTTGGCAAATTGATGTCGCGTACTTGAAAAAAAAAAAAAAAAAAACCCGTCGTACGTACTCGGGGGGCGCCCCCCGTGTACGGTGCCCGGCGGATCGGACGAGCGACGAGTTTAAACGCCTGCCCGCGCTACCGTCGCGCGTTTACCGCGACACAATGACGTGACGCGCGCTATCGCCGTATACGCTGTTGCGACACGCGCGTATCGTACTCTAAAATTACGTTTCCCGGTAGCCGGGGTCGCGCGAGAAACGCCCGTGCCATTCCGTAGTACCGTTCAAATTGTGAACGCGCGCCGCGTGGTCGTTGGGCGCCCGGCACAATTGTTTCACGGAACGGTTCGCCGGTGCGGTGCGCGTCGACCTACCGCGTACCGTCGGCGCGGACCAGTGCAGCCGTCCGCTTTTGACACGGAGAAAACGTCGCCGTATTGTTTACGTTGAAAATTGCAAACGGCGTCGGTTAAAACGCGCGACGCGGTCACGCAATAACCATACCGCGCCGTGTCCGTGTTGCGTCGATAACATTCCGCACGGCGACTTTGCGCGCTTACCAACCAGCGTTATCACGTCGAACGAGTCAACGACGACATTTTAGTCCGATCATAATCTGAGCGTTTAAGTCACGCCGGAAGAAAAACAAAAATAACGACAACCGCGTTGACTCGAAATTTATTTTTAAAAAGTAAACCGGAATCGATTGACATTCGAAGCCCTGGATTCACACTCGGAAACTAAAATATTCGTAAATAACTTAATATAACTGAAATAAATTCAAAATAGTTATTAAAAGAATTAATCGAGTTTTGATTTACAATGGTCTGTCTTTTTTTTTTAACTGTCTAATTAAATTAAAGAGCTATCAAAAAAAAAAACAAAAAAAAAAATTAACTCTAAACTTCCGAACTATAATAACTGTCCAGCTTAGGCTAGTGTCGATAGGTTTGACAAATGACGGAACTTTGAATTGTACACAGGGAAATAAGTACTGGCGACGTTACTACTACCCCCTCGCAAAAGTCCCGCAAAAACTACGTTTATCCGAGTTACCGGGTGTTTTTTTTTTTTTTTTTTTTTATATATGTATAAATAAGAACTCGCGAAACGAAAAGAAAGAAAGAAAAAAAAAAAATCATAAGTGGTCGAAAATAAAATACGTATATAGCTTTCACCCGAGTCTAGTTTAACGATTTCGTTTATTTCTTTGCGCGTTTATCTCCCCTTCTATCTTCGGGCATTACTCGTTATTCATTCTTTACCCGGTTAATAATAATTTTTCGAACAACATGACATTATTCCTGATACACATTTTATCCCGGAATGCGCGCGCGCGTTTAATCTCGATAGAAATAAATCCACTTTCTCCGATATTGTTATAAATGCTATAGTAATGTTCACACGGGTACGTTTAATACTATACAAACATATTAACCGGTCACGATAGGTCATTATAATGTAATTGGTCCCATACAAAAATTGACTGTTGTTAGTCGCTTAAATACTAGCTAGCAAATTACGAACAAGTATTATTATTATTTCAATAATGAATTCGGTCATTCTATTTTGCACACGGTTGTATGAACCGTCGCGTACAGAATGTTTTTTAATAAAAAAGTGATATCGCTACATCGCACATGGGTGATTTATTTTTAAAATTACTTAATATTCAAATTGCGCTATAGAATAATGTGTGCTAATCAAATGTTTTTTAAGAAATACACGCGCGAAAATGATTAAAAATCAAGTCTAACTTGTTTTTTTTTTTTTGATGTGATTATAAATCGTCGTGGTTCACCGCGGTCTCTAATTCAAAATGAAATCTTATCGTAGATGGTCGTTTTATGAACGTTCTAATATAAAAAATAGGACAGTTCAAAAAATACGGTCATTGGTATGCGAACGTTTAAAATGTATTTCATAAGATTTGATAAAAAAAAAAAAATCACCCAAATCGATAATATCCAAAAGATAACGTTTGAAATTTAAACAACTATACATCGGTACATTTTTAGTTGAAAAACAAATGTTTTAGATAAAAAAAATTATAAATTGCTTGGAAAATAAGATGAAAAAATAAATAAAAACAAAAGAAAAGAAAGTTGTATCGCCAATTCGTAGACTGAAATATCGTTAGAAACTTAGAAATTTTAAAAAAAAATCATGCTGAAATTCAAGCTGAGCATTAACGAGTTAAAAGATTATAAAAGTTATGTTAAATTCGACTTTTAACTTAGTTTTTGCCTTTGGTTTTTAACTAACCTAACTTTTGACTAAACCTGTTTTTTTTTTCATTAATAAATAAATAATTAATTTCGAATTATATCACGTCGAGTCAATTTCAATTATTTTGAACTTTACAATATGCATGTTTGAATTTACGCAATATCATATTATAAATAATAGTCTATTCCACCTCTCCAAGATGTTATCCCCCCTATTCTATACGTTTGTCACACTTATTTGAAAAAAAAAAAAAAATACAATCCCTATAGGTTTAATAATTTGTACTAAAATAACGAAAATTTTACAAAAATAAATTAACACAAATAGTTATTAAGTTAATTAAATTTTTCAAATGAACTTCGCCGAGTTAATATCATTCATTAATTTGTCCGCATAATACAAAATAGTTAGCGTATAGCGTCAATGATTAGCGGCACCGTCCTGATAATTAAATAGCCTAATAAAAATAATTATTAACGAGTCCCTAATCGTGTTTTATCGCAAAGCATCTACATGTAGGTACTATTTATTTCGGTCATCGGACATGAAAACGCCCACTATGTTTAAAAAAAAAAAAAAAAAAAAAAACACATAAAACCGCGTTTTATGTTAATTTTTTTATAGAGTTTATAGACCGTTCCGTGACATGTAACGTAACATTTTTTATTATTATTATTTTTTTGTTTTAACAAACATACATGTCGATTTAAATATAATATTATGATAATGTATAATCAACGGATGTTATTCGATGTTAATTTTAACAATACTTATTTCGGACGGCTTTTGTTTAGCGGCTTGTTTATGAGACGTATTATTAAAATTAGATTTAATCGTAGAAAACATTAATTATAAATGATTACTTACGAGCATATCGCACCTACGTAGTCTGCGTGCTACTTTCTCTGGAAACCCGTATACGACACCGACGGGTATGAGTATAATCTATATTTTCCGTACAATTTTCACCAGATACGGTTTGAATATCGTATTTCAACAAGTTAATAATAAATAATAATATTGAGGGGATTGGAATCAGTTTCCCGAATTTCCTCCGATTATAAGTAATATTTCTCATACAAATTATTTAACGATAAGACATTTTTCATCGACTTACTGTCCGATAACCACTTAAGGGAATGGGTACGATCGTTTCGATGAGGTTTTAAACCAATAGACTGGCGTGAAATCCGCCCACTGCCGATCGTCGAATTTTAATTTTGAAACCAGTGTAACTCATTGATTTCATCTTTATGTTTCGAAGGAAAACATTTATTCGGTTTTTTTTATTTAGTCGATTCGAGTTTGAGACACGTAACCGAGATTTTTTAAAGAGGGGGTGGGTGTTTTATGTCTACATTATAAAATAAAAACACGTTTTTTTTTTTAACACATTTATATTACTTAGACACGGATGTAGCGGGGTATCCAGATCAGAGGCAACAATCCCTCTGGTTGCGCCACTGTTTATGATCAATATTTTATTATTTGTTCAAATCAGGATCTAGGATTATTACACGGCGGCGGGAGGGGGATATATAGATTTTAACAGCCATATCTATTCATTTAAACGTATAAACATATATATTATATGGTTTATTTATACAGGGTGATTCGTTTATCATGGACCACATAATATCTATATAGGGGTGTAAAAACAAAACAAGTTGTGAAAAATTGAGATCACATTGTATACAAACAATATGAAAATTTTACTATAAAACAAAGTCTAATTTTCTTGTGGACAGTGAAAGAATATCGAGCACTTCATCAGGTATGACCGTTATGTTTTTGTGTACCGACAATATGCAAAGGCCATTTAGTCGATTCTAAAGAAAAATAGAAAAATTAGGAACATTATAACCAACAGCAAGTGTAAAATTTGTTTTAAAATATATAACTTATAACTTATAACGTGAAATGTTTAACGTGTTCATCAGTTAGGTTAGGTTGATAAGCGTTTTTAATCTATTTCAATTATCTGCAACGACCACTGGGTATCTTAAATTATGACTTCAGCGTTACCATTAATTATTAATTAAATAATTTATAACCAATGATAATATTCAGAATGAAAACAAATTCTTGTAGTGTGAACACTGTAACATCTACTCGTATAGAACCACGATTATATTATTATCTATAATTGAGAACGGCACAAAGTTTTGAATTTGTTATCAAATCATAGTATCAACTCACAATAATTGATACAATTTATACTGAACTTAATATTATCACTAAATGTTTTTGTTGTTTTTAATTCAGTGACGCACGTGTTCGGCTGTAGTTAATCGTACGAGACCGTTGGTAAAATATAAATCCGTTTTGAACGTTTTAATATTATTCGCATTCGTCAGCGAAGGTCTTTTCTATTATAATAAACTATTGCAAATATTATTGTACTGTAAGTTTAAATATATTTCAATATTTTTAAACTAACACGAAATAATATTAAGAACTTGCACGCGTACCAAATTTTCAAATCTTTCAACTGGCTATTATATTAATACGTATGCATAGTATAAAACGTTGAGACGATATAACAACGGAAATAATGCACTTGTTTTGTTTTAACTGCCATCGGATGAACGTCATACTCGTATTAGTTGTATAATAATACGTCTGTATATATTTTTGTGTACGCGATAGTAGTAAAAATGTAAAGCATTTTCATACATGAGTTTTATTGCTGCCGTTAAATGTCCAAAATTGTGATTAGATTTGTTAACCTAGATTGTATAAAAATGGTTTGTTAAAGTTTACTTGAAGATTTATATTTTATTTTGCCGGGTGATGGCCTCGACGACAGAAATCGCGAAATAAAGCCGTAAGAGTGGAAAACATGCAGTGAAGACGTTTGAAAAAAAAAATGCATATTTTATTCGTTTTCTGGGTGATAAAAAAAAAAAAAATAAAATAAAAAATAATTAGTAAACATAATATCGTTTGCGTTTCGAGGTTACGGGCACGTGTATGATTTCTTGACGTTTAAATATGATCTTCTAAAAAATGTAATTTAATATGCCTACCTGCAAACTACATTTTATCTTAAACTTAAGGAGTAGATGAAAATACCTATTATTAAAAAGAACAATGATGTTGAGTATGGCGCGAATCGTTTTAATTGTCCATATTTTACTAACGTAGATTTAGATTGAATTTCCGTAAGAACATTTTTTACAATAAATGTAATATTATAGATTATCAATAAAAAAAAAAGGCTGATCCTGCTGATGGGTGTGCTACTGTTTTTAGGAGAAAAGTTGAACGAAAGGTAATAATTTAGAATATAATTTAATTCATACCTGTGCCCAATAATAAACGATTATGATAAAAGTATTATTATCTAGCCGTATTTTCTCCCTAATTGAATTGCGAAAGTAATCCAGAAATCAACAAAAATTACTAGTCTTTCCTATTTACAGATACAAAAACTAAAGTGCACATATACAGTCGAGTCTTATTATTCGTAAAATTTGTCAATAGTGAAAACTTGAAACCATTTATACAACTTATAACCTACAAAGACTACAAATTCAGTTTTCATAAAATACTTAAAGATGATGTATAAAGGTGCCTATTGCTGTGTGAAAAATCGTAAGAGCTATAAAATGATTATCTCCTTTAAATATTATAATTGAGGTAACACTGAATACAAACATACAGTAAAACTGATAAAAATAAAAAATAAAAAATAAAAAAGACTGGCATAATTCGCACGTGAATGCAGTCACTGTTGTAGGTGGTAAGTTAGGAAGGTAAGATACAGATGGGAATTTATCTGTAAACAACGATAAACCATTGCTAATAAAAAAATTCTTCTGAGTGGAATTCAGTTGATAGTGTTGCTTTGTTCAATAATATGTATGTAATTTTATGGTAAAATGATTACAACAATGTGCGTTTCCATGACAACAATTATTTTTTAAAAAATATTAAAATAATAAAAACAAAAAATAAACAAAAACGGTTACCGATGACAACTTTATTTTTAATCTTTCAATCTTTTTTAACCTAACGAACCAGATTTTCCTCATTATTAATGAATATTAATGAGAATTTCAAAAAATGACCTCTTTAAAGTAACACCCAAAAGACATTTCCTTTCAGAAAAGATGCTATACTTGATAATTGAAGTAAGCTTTCTGGTAGAAAAAGTGTTCAGATAAAAAAAAAAATATAACATTGTAAAACCAATATATTCTTTGTTCCGTTTAGAATCTAAAAAAAGGTGTTAAATAATATGAAGTGTTAACTATTGTGTGGTCTCTCTCATAAACTCGGACCGCAACTCTTATTCGATTTAGAGATTAGGGAACAATTCACGAACACCGATGATAACATACGTACTTGTGTATATTTTAATATTAAATAGGCAGTCAATAAATACCGACCTAACGATATATAATATGCCTAAGATTTGTTCGTTATTTCGGAAGATTATACCTACTACTATTTCGTCAAGTAATAACAACGTCATAATATTATCCTCGCCTTCACTCTACGAGACAGTTTTTTCCTTTTAATATTTAATTTAATATATCTAAGTTTATTGAAAATAAATTTAAAACTAAATCATAATTATTACGTTTAAAATTTTGCCAATATGATTAGTTTGATTCGCAAAATCTAATGATGAACATTACGGAATAAGAAATGTACATCAGTATTTTAAAACTGCATTTTTTCGTTCAACGTTACGATTAATAAATACGATCGGGATATACGCCCCCATACACCTTCCAATACACTACTGGATATCACCCAGTCAATTATTTATTGTGCAAGTAAATAAGTGCCGCAATAACCATATTATAATAGCTTATCAAATTACAAATTTACACTGTATACAAAAAAATGAGTGGTCATAGTAGGGATGCTGATACGCGTAAGCAGCGACTCCACCCTACACAACCGTGTTTTAACTATAATATTATACGATTACGATATAATTTTAGCATAAATATTCTATTGTTCACTGACGTCGTCGTCGCGTCGTATTCAAACGAACCCGAACGCATTTTCTAATCTATCAAATCTATCGAATTCAATAATAATAATGTGATGGTGCGTTTTTGGTTTGAGAGCGTCGATCAATTATTATCATCGTAGAACGCGCATATGGTGCAACGATATTGTCTATAGATCGCGAAGATCAAATAAAACATCGTATTTACACCTAATATGCTTTCGATCGACCCGATTCGTTTTGCTCGGAGAATGTTCGTTGTTATCGATGGTAACGATATAATAATAACGTAGCTAATTAATCACCTCGAAAACGATATGCAAATCTCTGAAGCAATGTTCTATGGTCACGAGGTAATGGAAATTATTAAATAAACAGCAAATTTTAATTTAAATGTAAAAATACCAACCCAACTTATTGTACACACCAACTACAGTTAAATGTACATTGAATATATTCAGTAGGTATTAGTTTCAGTTTTCAACTATGTTTAATGAGTAAACGCTAAAGCCGAGCAAGTATTGTGAACTTTTCTGACTAATTCATTCAAGTTAAGTTACATTTAATACAAAACCTATTGGAAGTTGTACTTTGTTTTAATTTACAAAAGTGTCAAAGTTAGTTAAACTAGAAGTCACTCGGTGAAAATAATAAAAATAAGTTAGAAAAATGCGTAAAGATATAAAACATCTATATTGTTTTTATGTCACTAACCTAAAGCCTGGTCCATTCAAAAGTTAAACTAAATGATTGCAATCGAATTAAGTTACAATTATTTTGTGACTCTATAAAGATCTTCTAAACATTTTTTTTTCATTTTTTTCGGTGTTTTTCCTTACTTTATCTTATCGCATAGATCATTATTGGCCATAATACCAATTATTATTCTCTCGCTATGTTGCGGTATTGTAGGTTTCAAATATAACGATCATCTTCTTTTTTGTCGGAAATAGGAAGGCTTTTACAGAGCACATTAGACTTGGATTTTAAAAATTATATTTCTGAACGCTATAGTTAGAGTTGAATACGACCTATTTTTTTTTTTAAACTAATACTAAACTAATGTACCTAATCTTTTTAACTCTCTGCTTTCACCACAAACTCCAGCTTAAAAAAGATAGCTTTATTTTTTTTTTTAAAAAATATGCTTTGTTAAATATATAACTGATTAAATAAAATATAATTAAAAAAAAAAAAAAATTATTGTTAGTTCTTGGTTACATAATATACATCCTATAGGAATTTTCCTCTTTCTGATATAAAAAATACATTTTATAAATCGAATCATTCTACAAGGTCTGAGAGATTTTTCTGTAATGCACGTTTTGAGCAAAAAAAAAAAAAAAAACAGATTATGCGTTCTCCCTTAAAAATAAATTATTTTAGAGTTCTTAGGAATGGTTAACTATGAATGTTGACAATTTGTTTAAAACTACGAGTAAAGAAGTTAGAGTACGAGTTAGAAAATTGTTTACAATTGAAACTAAGCGGTCGAGTTTAAGGTTATTAATAAAATTGACTTTTTAACGTAATTCTAGCTTTCTAACTATAGTTAATACCCACGGTTAATGCTGCATATACCATTGCTTGTTTTCGGGATATGCAGTACGACGAAATATATTGTATCTTCGCTCGCAGTTTAAATATAATAAAAGATAATGCATCCTATTATAATGCGTTTTAAGAGTTAACTAGTTTTAATTCGGTCACTTCCCGTCGTGTTTTACAATATACTATACGCAATGAGACCATCATAATACAATTTTAATAATTGCCGAGTTATACGGATCGCGATTCGCACAGAACATAATATGCAACCGCATACCTACCTACTTTTACGGTGCAAATTTACATCGTTCAAAAGTATTAACTACGTGTCTATACTTACCTGTATTACACTACACGTCTGCGCGCGCCTATCGGTTAAATCCAGGGAAGGGTGTCTCGCTAAAAATATTCCATTTATATTTTTAAAAAAAATATATAAAAAGATGTCCTAGGACAATAGGGTCGAGTGCAGCCACTGTTATAGGTAATTGAATGTATATCTGTGAGCAACGATAAACCATTGCTAACACGAAAAGACGATTCAGTTCAGATAATAGTGATGCTTTTTGAACAATATATATGTCATATAATGGTAAAATAATGAAATAGGCATTGAATATTTTCTTTAATAATATTTGTTTAATATTGTATCGATTTTCCCGATTTCCCGTGTTTTTCCCCGGTTTTTCCCATTTGCTGGGAAAACTCTTGGAAAAGTCGAAAAATTACATCTCTAAAGTACCTCTCCAGTCAGATTTCCTCCGACAATTGGAGAGAAATTGCTGATAAAAAAGTTGTCTACAGAAAAAAAATCGTAATGTTTTACTAATATATTTTGTATATTTTCCCGTTTTTCACGATTTTTCCAATTCATCGAGAAAATTCCTGGTAAAATCAAAAAACTATTGTCCCTAAATACTTTAATTATTATATTAATACAATATGATTAAGTTGATTTAAAAATTGAATTTCAACAGAACATGAATTTAGTTAGTATAACGATTCAATTTTCACTTAGCATACAACAATATGCTAATATAATATAATACGCGGTGCAACCCAAACGGCTCTCATCCATTTTTGTCTTTTCCCAGACTGCTCCCGTCGAAAAAGGTTGCACGAGTAGGAAAATCCCCAAACGAGTCCGATATTCGGTATTACGTGTACATTTCCCGTAACAAAATATGTTCAGATGCATCGCATAAAACATTCGTGTCATATACTCATATCTTAATTTGTACGGTAACAAGTTCTGTCGAATTCTTCGAATCGAAAAACAACGCATCGCCAAAAAGAATACATTATTTTTTATTAATTTGTATTAATTATTAATAATATTTTATTGATTGTACTTTCGACATTGATATTATAAAATATTCCATTTAGATTTTAGACAGCGAAGAATGTATTGAGTTTACTATTATATGTTTTTTTTTTTTTTTTTTAGTGTCTATAAACAACTTTTCAATCATAAATCAAACTTTCAATTAAAAACAATACGGGAACGGGCAATTTTTCTGATTTCTGGCTAACCTTGACTACAAGTGAAAAAATACGACCAACGTTCGGCAATAGTTTATCGTTGAGCACGGATTCGAATTGCATTATCCTGCCTTCCAAATTCTCTCCTAAAACAGTGACACATCCATCAGCAGTATTAGCTTTTTTTTTTTCTATTAAGGCTTCCCGCCTTTCTCCCAGGTGATATTTTTAAAAATGAACCGTATTCACCCTTGTTCCTTCCTCCGTTGATGTTCTTCGTTGATGCTCCGACATGTTCGGTCATATTTTCAGAATCGCTAAGCGTCCAAATATAACAGCACTGCAGTGATTGTGACTTTACGGACCGCGGGCGATGAAAAAGTGTTGTCGATCCATATAATAATAGCAAATACTAGACAGGTAATAATATAATGGAAAAGAAAACCGAAGGACGATTGGCGGTTTACACGTAATAACTAATAATATAATTAATACATAATATACAAACACCGCTGCATATAGTACGACGCAGTCACCAGCGCACACGACAATGAATAGTACACATTTTTTTTTTCTCCGCCAAACGAGTTAACAGTCATAGTTGGTAGTTTTACACAACACGCGGGTTATTTACCAATAATAATCGTACATTTTCATGATAAAAAAAAAAAAAAAAAAAAAAAAAAAAAAACGTTTATATTTATAAATAAATACGCGTGCGTGAAATGGACGACTCATGATCTTAATAGTTATCGAGAGTCGAACCCATAATCACGACTTATTATCGTCTGTCAATATACCGGTACCTATTACACGTACGGTAAATTATAACGCGTTCGCTCTCACATTCCACAAAGCACGCGTGATAATTTTTAATTATTTATTTCACCAATTTTATTTTCTCGCGTACCTATTGTCCGTGACCGAGGTCTGGTTACGAAAAAAAAAAAAAAAAAATTATAAATTATAGTTTATATACCTTCGTATTATATCGACAAAAGTAAACAGAGTAAAGAGAAGCCATTTCAGTTTATTTTTATTGAATTCGAAAGACATTTCATTTGGAACAGCCGGTCGATTTACTTACAAAAATTATGTATGCGTGTACTTAATGTTATATAACAACGTACATTAAAGTTGCGAAATTGTTTTTCGATATTAATATAATTTCCACTTTAGCTGAGTTTGTCAACTGTTAACAAAAACTTAATATTTACGCGCAATATTATCGGTTGTAATTATTACGATTTTTTTTTTTTTTTTTTTTTTTGTGACGACTCGCGTCAATAAAAATATAAGTATCGTTTCGTTACAAACCGTTCAAACGTTTTAAAATAAAATTACGATTTGGAGAAAGAATTCTATGGAACGCTACACGGGTGCGTAGACAGGCGTTCCTGTTGCACCCACGCAAAATATGATGACGTTCGCGATATAGAGGACAATTTTATTCAAACAGACTAATTATTACATTATTATAATCGTCGATTTTTGTAATATAGAGCTGAGGATTTCATTGTTTTCCAACGGTTTCTGCGTGCTACTCGTTTCGTCATTAATCCGTTGCGTATGTTTTTGTATGATAATTAAACATTTAGTATGGCATTTTTGGACAATTTTTAATCTGAAAATTCAAATTCGAAATCGTATTTAAAGATTCGTATAATTGTACACTATAGCAAGGTTTATATAAAACGACAAATTCTTAAATTATCGAACAATATAGCCGTGTCGAAACTCAGAAAAAGTGCGATTGATTTTGTTACAAATTCGTATTCTGCATTTTTTTAATTTTATAGGTGCGTTATACGTTTTTATTGTTTAGAGCATAGAATCGTATATTATTAGGAATTTAGGGTCTGTTGCACTCTCAGACCATAGTGACGAGGTATTAACTGCATACTGTATAATCTTTAATTTGGCCTTTATCGAATAAATAATTATCTGAATACTACTGTTGTTGTATGATGTGAACGCACTTTAGGCACTCCGGGTACTGGTATCGTGTGGCGACTCGAAAAAAACTGGAGGAGAAAAAAAGTTTTTTCCGATAACATCAACTCGTCTCGGACAGGACACCGCGCATGCGATGAAATAAGGTCAAAGCCGATTATGTAAAACGCACTCATATGCGATTCTGAAAATCCATACGATCTTGTCGCGTTCAAACATAATATCAAGATTAGCAAATTACGTTGGTTTTAATTTTTCTTTTCTTTTTTTTTTGTTACCGTAATTTGATATGAATGCATTTAAATTTCTGATGAAACTAAATTTCATTTAGTACACGGTCATTTTTGTGCTTGTTTCTATTATGCTGTATAATATTATTACGTATAAAATATAACAATATTTCGGTCGATTAGCTTTCTAACGTGTTGCTATGGAAATAACCGGTTATAATATCACGTTTCCACGCGGTTATAGTAATGTAGTCAATTTTCTCTAACCTTTTTTGAGCTAAACCGCTGGAATAAAAATTACTTGTTAAAAGAAAAAAACACAGTGTACGATTTATGATCATTAAAATATATTAACGGCACAACAATAATATGATGTTTATATTATTTTGTTTAACGACTCTACAGAAATATTCCGTATCTTAAGACTGCAGTACACCGCTGTATGCATAGCTATCTGCAGAGATGAATTCTTCCGTTCAATAATACAATGCGATAATATACTGTCTGCTGTTCAAACTTATACTCAACTCGTAGTACCTGCGCTCTCGTAGTTGGTCGACTGCTCATTAAAAAGAAAACGTAAACAAATAGGAATTTTTTTCGTTGTATTTTTTATAGGTATGTCGACGTGTATTGTGGTATTGTATAATACGGTACGTCTTAATACTATGCGTATTGTATTACGATAACACACTATGCGCGCATACACCACAGACTCGATATTAAAATATATAACGGCTGATACTGAAATTGAATTAAGAATTATAATGTTAAACGTCGTACCGGTCTCAAGTCACATCGTATCCATTGTATTATTTTGTATTTTCGTCGATATTATCATGCAAAGCATATATCGTATCTATAGATACATTTTAGAAACGAATAAAAGCAGATTATTTTTTTTTTTTTAAATTAATTTTGAAAGTAATCTGTTGCAATTAGCGTTCCCATTTTATATAGCTCTTGAACTGCACTTGAGGGATACGCGGCAATAAAATATTAAATATTGTATTGTAAGCGTGTTGAAATATAATATGGCAAAATAGTTTGTTTTTTTTTTTTTGGTAAAATAGTATGACGTTAGTATCGATTATTATTGAAATATACTCTAGCGGGTGATTTGGTTTTGTTTGAAATGTGTCCATCGTATATATATATAGTCGCTTGATTATATTATTGATTTTTGGTTTTTGTTTTTTTTTTTTTTTTTTTCCAGAAGATAACCTACTCCGAAGACTGGCGCATATAATAAATGGANTTTTGGTTTTTTTTTTTTTTTTTTTTTTTTTCCAGAAGATAACCTACTCCGAAGACTGGCGCATATAATAAATGGACTTTGCAGTTTACGTGAAAAATATCCTATAAGCGGGACCCTGCTATACTTCAATAGTGTTAATGAGCAATGACCGAATAAGATAAGATACACTGTAATACAAAACAGCTATAGGTAGTCCCAAAACGAACGGCAGAGTTCCGTAAACGTGACCAAAGGTAAACGACAAACGACAACCCCGCAACTGGTGTACCACCGATTTTCCGTCCAAACTTTCCCGTGCCGTTTGTCGACGAATTATCGTACGTAAACATTTCTTTTTCGTTCAATCTGCGCAATACGGCAATCACGGCACGCCGTATCGGATTCGCCGCGCGAGCGAACGTCGCGCGTAACCGCGATAATTGTACCGGTGAAATCCGCCCGCCCGGCGGGCCCGCACGGGCCGCCCGCGAGCTTTGCTCGGGTTCGCCGCCGTACAGAGTCGCCCGTGCATGGCGTGGATAGCCGCGGTCTGCGTACAGCCGTTTCGCACGTCTCTCCGCGGCGGCGAGTCGGCGTTACTCGCCTTTCGAATAGCACAATGAGACGCCGCCGTTATTGCGTTTGTATTACGGACCACGCGGTACCCACGGTGCCGCGGGGTCGTAACGTTCGTACGATCGACCGCCCCGGGACCAAAACGTCGCGATTGTCGTATCAACCGACGGCCGCACAGTGTGCACCGAATGCACGTGTACGCGCGCGCCAAATACGATTAACAATTGTTATTAACAACGGCACCGGTTTCGGCCATTGTCTCGCGCGTCCGCATTACAGGCGCGCGTTGCCGAGAGACGACCGCGGAATACCCGAAAACAGCAATAAACAATAACGATAACGATTATTGCGTCGTACGCCGCGTTCTCCCCCACCCCATCTTTTATCCGCGGCGGCACCGCGGTTTTCCCGATCAAACGGCCGCCCGGTACGCGGTCGGACGCGGCGGCTCGCGCGGATCCGGGTCACGACAATAACAACGATAACAATACGATTGTTGTCGTCGCCGGACCGACACGGCGCACCGTCCGAGCGGCACGCGAACGCGGGCGCCGCCACCGGACGCGCGTACACGGGTGGCGTGAGCCGATATCGCGACGGCCGCTCCCGGAGAATCCGCGGGGCCGCGTACGAAAAATCGTCGCCTCAATGTGCCCGCGGTTCGACGTCGCGATAAATGAAAATCGCGCGACGCTGTCGGCTCTGAGGCCCGCGGAACGCTTGGCCGCACTTGTCGTACGAGTCCGCGGCCGGACGGCGGCGTAGTGCGCGCAACGTCGCCGTACGTTACCGGCTATTTTACGCGCGTGTTAACGGAAACCTGTGTGCGTATTAAAAACCGCGTTGACACGTGTTTTTGTTTGGTTTTTCAAACGGATAAAAGCCGAGCTTTTCGACGCGTTATTTATTCTATTATTGCTTGCTTTCCTTCCCCCCCCCCCGCAACGGGAAACGTATAATATTTTCTATTATACAGGAAGTGTATACAACCTATGCGCGGTGAATATTTTGTAAATATCTATTCCAGTGACTACGGAAAAAAAAAAAAAAACGGATCGTGACTATAACTCGACGATTTCGAATAGCTACGCATAACTGGAAAAACGCCCGAACAATAATTTGAAAATTGTTCCACGTCATAAAATTGTAATACAATAAATATTTGGTGATAATGTCGTGTCTTTACGGATACGTTTTACCACGACTAACAAGAAAATCGAAATTAACAGAACTCTTATCCCGTAAATATACGCATGGTTTTTCAATGCTTTGTACGACCCATTATTCAGATAAGTTTAAAGAAAGCGAAAAAAAAAATGGGCCCATCCAAAGCACTAAATAGATGACATTTGCAACCGGAAACAACCCTCCTGAAGTTGGATGATTCGTGTAATTCTTTTGATTGAAAACTTGTTTACAGGTCTAAAAAAAACATGCACGTTCTAGTAAAATTAACAACAATTTCTCGCCTCGCATTTTATAATCTGAAACATTAACGGAATATTTATAGAGGAAACTCATAATTTGTCGAACAATTCGAGACGCTATTTGTTTTTTTTTTTTAAATAAACCAGAAAGCGCGATGTGTAAATTAAATAATAGGTATAATTAATTTCTCGAGGGAATCGGGCGATTATACAATATTATAATAAGATTATTATGATATTATGTCCGTGAAATAATAGACACACGTTTCATAAAAAAAAAAAACAAAAATTAAACGATGAATTATGTTTTGCGTAATGCGTGATGTCTACGCAGTACAGTGGAATATTATCATAAACTGTATTTGTGATAAACGCCCAGACACGTACGTTACTTGATTTAAAACGCTCTTCAAAAAAAGAATATAGGTAAGAATAAAAAATAAACCTTAAATATCTACTGTGCGTTGTACACAATAGAACATTGGGCCGCGAGGTACCCTGTGTATTATTTTTATCATGCGTATATACGAACACATTGCCGTACATCCGGTACCGTTATTGCGTTAGCTGGCCACGGAATCATTCCGCATGCATAATTCATCTTGTTCTTTAGTTCCGTATACGATTTTTATGTATGAAACCGTGTCGAGATATCCGATCGTCGATAATCATATTTTTTTTTAACGTGCGTACCGACCAACAAACCGGCGGAACATTCATTACAGCAGATTTTCCGCCATAATGCTGGACAAAGGAGCAAATAAACCAAATATTTTAGGGCGTTTTACATCTCATAATATTGATAAATATTAATTATGTACATTTAAAAGGAGAGTTGATTTGATGGGGCTTGGATAAGTTTTGAAGGTTTCTTAGTCCCTCATGCTCCCCTGTTTGAGCCTACGATACTAGAATGTTAGCGGGTTATCGAAACAATTGTCGACTAGATACATTAGTTTTAATGCGACAAACACGAAGTTATTGGAAATGAAATTTTTTTTTCAATTCTCATATTTCACAAATTACTATTAAAAATCAATTTAAATCGAAAAATACCAAAACCGATCGGTTTTGACAGGCATCAAAATATGTGTCTCATTAGGTATTCGGTTTTGTGGGTTACCACTAGTAGTAAGCCACACTAGTCATAACTGTGACTCGGATCACGGTTTATCACGAGTATTGTTAATAATATACTATTTTTATATTAACGAGAGTAACCACGATTTATGACATCATGTCCTAGTGATCTTATCAGCATGGTTACCGTGTGATAACTGATTTTCGGTAAAACATTTTACCCCAACATCAATTGTTTTAAACTCGTTAAATTTTAAAAATCCAAAATTCTTAAAAAACGAACTAAAAAAAATATATATAAATATATTTTCTCACTCAGACCGATTTATACAATGGGGGACAAATTTAGTTTGAAAAATGTTGATAACTCATTATTTCGCTTATTTTTAGATTCTGAGCGAAGCATTCTGTTAGTATTTATATTGCGAGCGGTTTTTCATGTCTGTAAACCACTTTTCAATAGGAAATCTTGCTCGAATAATGCTCAACGTCAAGGGTAGTTCGTGGTTATCTATACAGTTTCGTGGTGCATAGGAAATATTGTTTATTTGATGTTTCTTATAATGGGAGGAGGAGAAATTGGGGAAAATCACGTGGAAAAAAAATGAGATTATTAGCGCATAAACGGTCTAGCAATTTCTAAAGTCCTGATATTTCCATCGAATATTTACACATAACAGCAATTATTTTTAAGAGTGGTATGATTTACGAGTTGACTTGGCCTTGAGAATTGTTTGCAGCTATTTTAAATTTCTAGTTTTTTTTTTTTTTTTGGTTTTACCTGAATCTATTTGGGTTCTTGATTTTAAATAAACAAATACGAGCTGAATGATATTGTTTCAATAACAGAATATAACACTATTACCATATTCTAGTTCTGTTCTAGTTTGCATGTTCACCTGCACCTATTTGACCTATTTTGATCTGATGTAAACAGACAAAAAAACTGGTCTAAATGGGATAGGTAGTTTTCGATGCGTAAAAATGTGGCGCGTTTGTTGAACTATAGTCAGATGAATAACCAGTTTTCGATGGCCTGAACAAAATCGTCTGTATAGAAGTATAAAAAATCATTAAAATATACATATCGTAATAAATAACGACTATATTATCATATTATTTCGTGTTTATTTTAGATTCTGAGCGGGGCGAGGAACTATTTTTTACAATGACGTTTTTTTTTTTTTCTGTGAACATCTTTTCTACCAGAAATTTTACTCCGATTTTCAAGTAATTTTTTAAAATGGAAATCTGACTGAGATGGTACTTTAAGTAGGTCATTTTTTTGATTTTTTCTAGGAATTTTCATAATAGATAAATGGGAAAAACCGGGAAAAAAATGTGAGAAAATTTACGAAATTTATTATTTTCAAATCTTAATATTACGGCCTTTCGAAATATAACCGAACTTCGCCCAGAATCGTTTTACATTAGCAATGATTAACAATGATGTGCAGATATACATTAAATGTCCATTCTACCTCTCCAAAATCTCACCTACAAACAGTGGCCCACCCATCGTGCGAAGTATGTCCTTTTCTTTTTTTTCTATGTCAGTAGCAAAACAACTTATATACAAGTATTGCAAGTATAGGTATGTATATATTTTATAGATTTAGTAAACATAAAAACGTGTTCATATATTTATAAAAAGGAATTTCGTGACTTCTGAATCTTTAGTATACCTAATAATTATGTCTTTATAAATATTTCCGTTGGGGAAAAATAAAGAAACTGGATTTCATCTGTTATAAATAACGTCAATAGTCAATAACAATAATTTGCATACAATTTTAACAAATTATGATTAAGTAGTAAAATTATAAATGTTAATAATAATATCAACAGCATCTACAAATAGAATTGAAAATATATCAACGATTGCACTAAAGACTTTAAGATTTTCAAACATACTTCTGCAAACAATTAAAAAAAAAAAAAACAACCGAAAATGCAACAATATGATGCGATATCTACTGTAATAAATGCATTTGTCGCCGAATCTTCTTTAATTTTGTATTGGTAAGTTGTGCGAAGTTGTGATGAAATTTTTCAAGTATCAACAGAATGCCAATGTCTTTGAGGATTTTTACCAACTGATAAACTAGTTGTCGGAAAACCCTATTTTTCGGTCAGTTAAGAATGCTCAGATTTTTTTCGCGCGCAATACTTTAAAAAATGCGAGATTTAAATTTATTTGTTTGTTTTGGTAATAAACGGCTCTAATTTATACTTACTCGATATTGCTTGTCTGCAGTTGATTCGGTTTATAGCAGAAAAATAAAATATTTATTTATATTTTAGAACGTACAGTTTTATAAATTATTATACTTTAACGTAGTCCAATTTATTTTCGCTTTACACGCGTTTTAAACTTAGATCGGTAGTATATAAGGTAGGTATTTGCCATACAAGTTCAGGTTCAATTTATTATCGGGAACAACGAAATCTGCCATAGCGCACGGCGAGTATTATTTTCAGACGTATTACTAAATTACTTGCATAAAGCGTATATTTGATTTATCGCGCGCACGCGAGTCGAAACTTTTACGTATTTAACCGGATTTTCTGTGTATGAACTTTTTTTTTTTCACTCAACCTCCCCACTCTCGCAAATTAACATTTTCCGATTTGCGTTGTTCACGAGACCGCCGAATTTCAAACTATAAATAATATGCGAGATTGTGAATGCCATAATAATGTTCTGCCTTGTTTATATACTTACTGCATTGCATTGTATAAAATCATACGAATTAATTAAATAACTTTGTTGGGAACGTTTGTTAATAGAACATTAGTTCGAATATATCAAATATTTTGAATAATATTTTTGATTGATATATTCGCGCGGACATACGTCGAACGCGATTTAAGCAAGTCGAATTCGAGTAAAGCATTTTAAACCGCGAGTTTCTGAAAAAAAAAAATAATAAAAGCGTAACTAAAGCAATAATAGTAAGTATAGCTGATGCTGTAGCGACACAGTGACTTTCAAAATATACGAATTCAATTATTACTCTTATATTGTATACGATACTAAATAGATAATATTATGAGACTTTTTTTTTTTTTTTTTTTTTTTTTTTTTTTATTTAACGACCTAAGTACATTGTGGCCAAGAACATCGTACCGAGGAAAACGAACGCGTGATACGCGACCACGTATGTAGTTGTGATCAATAGCCTGTGGCTTTATAAATTCCCAGTAGGTTAGCCTAACCGCATCGTATCGGATTCCTTCACTCCCACCCCGCCGCCGCCAAAGAAACTGTACCGGCATTATTGTTTTGTTACGTTCTGTTGTGTTGTGTTTTTTTTTTTTTTTTTTTATATATATACAGACTGATATTTTTTTATTTATTATCATTATTTAGTTTTTATTTTTTGAAGATGTTTCGAGGCTATAAAACGTAAAGTATAAACACGTCGAAACGATGTGGGATCGTATCGTGAAAATCGCACGAGTCAATTTACTATCGAAAATTAAATTTCACGTCGTGTTTCAGACGGAAAAGTTTAAACGAGAATACAAACGTAGGTGTACGGGTTTCATATAATATTGCATACACGATTCGCGAGACAAGCGGGTTTATTTTACGACTAAATGAATAAAATATATCGTTTATACGTCGAAACGTTAAAAGTAAAATAAAAAAGCCAGACACGAGAAATATAGGCAAGTATATTCTCTACACCGGGAACAGGATACTGTTGTAGGCATAGGAAATGAGAATACCTTACGGCTAAAAAAAAAAAAAAAACGGAGTCCATTTGATCAACAGGTTCAGTCTAACCTTTACCACCCTTAACCTAACCCAGTGTTTCCCGAAGGGTGTGTCACGGCACACTGGTGCACTGGTGGGCCACGACAATTTGAATATTTTTCTACTGAAAAACCGTTGTAAAATAATTATAAAAAATTTTATCAAAGATCGTTATTATTATAAATTAATAAAATATGTACGATTCGAATCCGCAAACGTTTACATTTTACTGCCTATCGGAACAAAAATAAAATCGTGTTTTACGATATCTGTTGCGGTTTTATCAAGCACACGTACTAATAATATCGTTTCGTCCGGCGCGTAATGCCTGTACCTACTGCAGACGCTATTCCGTCAAATACATCGATGGTTATCGGTACCTCCGGTGACACTTTCACAATTGGAAATCGTCAAACACAACCATTATTATTATTATTATTTATTATTTATCAATAACAGTGTCGCGGACTATCGGTAGTCACAGGTTCGGTTTCGGGTACCAACAACAATAATATTCGGGGTTCGACGATCACGTCGCGGTCGTGTGAACGGGTGCACGTGACTCGGACATGCCCGTCGATTTTTTAATTTTTTTTTCTCTTACAATTATTATTATTGTCACTGTATTAATTCCGGTGCGATTTTATTCAGCTTTTACTCGTTGCGGATAAATATATAAATTGTTATTATAGCCGCGGTGTATACTGCAGGTACCGTATTACGTGTATAATATAGGTACGACTGTTGTAGATGTCGATTAAACTCGTCGATTGCTCGTTACTTCGAATAGTTATCTACCGTGTATACGTATAGGTACGTGTATGCACGGTATACGCATGTAGTTTGTGTCCGGGGAAAATTTTTAAAATCGGCGAGTGTTTATATACATACATACGGGGCGGAAATCCTTGGGAAATAAGCAACACCGGATATGACGTCACTTTTCTTCTCGACCCTTCCGCAAAACTCCTCGCGCCCCGACGTTCGCTGTTCGCGTGTCGCATCGCATTATATTTAACCGAGCGCGCTATATTATAATAGCCCCGCACAGTAAGTATATGCTCAGAATATAATGCAGTCGAGGTCGTCGTCGTCGTCGTCGTCGCGAAATGTCGTTTTCTAACTGTTAATAACACTCGATTATTCGTATTTTAGATCGAGACGTCGCCGCCGTTCTTCCCGGCCCGAACAATAGCCAGGATTCGACAACATTCATACCAACTAGAATTGCGAATATGACGTGCAGTATTATGGTAGTGGGTAAATGCGTTTGCATTGTTATTTCGGATTCCGGGAGGCGCGAAGTACCTTGTAGTTTTACAATGATGTTTATTTTTTTTCTGTGGACAACTTTTCTACCAGCAATTTAGCTCCGATTTTCATTGATGGCACTTTTTCCGAAAAGAAATCTCACTGGGGAGCTACTTTAAGATGGTCATCCTTTGGTTTTCCCAGGAGTTTTTCCAATAAATGGGAAAAACCGGGAAAATAGGTACAATACTAAATAAATCGTATTAAAGAAAATATGCAATGCCTATTTAATTATTTTACCATAATATGACACGTATATTGTTGACAAATCCACACTGTCAACCGAACTGCACTCAGAATCGTATTTTCGTTAGCAATGGTTTATCGTCGCTTACAGTTGTACACTAAATTACCTATAACAGTGGCTGTATTCGTCCCCATTATCCTGGGACCGCTTTTGTTTTTTCTTATCTTACTGTGAACATAATATCGCACTTTGTTTTAAACTAATTTTATTTTGTCGTTATCGATTTTTTAGCTGAACATTCTCTTTCCTCCTTTTTTTTTTTTGCCATTTTCTTCTTTGCATTTTCTAATATTCGATCCCTTTTCTTTTTAAGTACGCCCATAATTATTAATCACCGACTTCTAGGAAACAACATAGTATATACACTATTATTTCGGAAGATTCAAAGTAAATATGATTTTATTTTATAATTATTGTTTAATAATGATGGTTTTTTTTTTTTTTTTTATGTAGGTACAAGTAGTTTTAGAAATTTAGCCATTCACTTTATTTATAATATAATAACTTACGGGTACCTTTTAACATTTATAATATTAAACACGATAGCTACTCATTATTTTACATTTTAAATAGGCAATATATATATATATATAATAACTAGCGATAGATCTACTTACAATTTAAACCGATCTATTGGCCAACGGACTAATCAATAAATTGAAGTTACGTATATTTAATCGGGATAAATCAGTTTCATAATTTACTGCCCTTTATTTAATTTAAGCCGTGGTATTTATTATAGTAACATTATTAATTTACATCTAACTAACCGCAAGTCATTGAATTAACGTAATATTAATAAAGAGTACCTAACATCAAATTAAAAAAAAAAAAAAAAAAAAAAAAAAGGTAGTCTTTAAAAATAATTACAAACGTAAAACATAGGCTACCGTAAATTCAAATTAAAAGTTGTAAAGTATATAGCAGGTGAACGTGCGATAAGACGGGGAAATATGAACTCTAAAACTAGTGCATCAATGACAGTTATGATTGTAAGTATAATTAAATGCATAATAGCAAATGCTTAAATTAAAATTACTCGGACGCTTTGAAAATAATTTTTATCTTGTATACAACATTTTTATTGTATACCGTCGCATTTCGTGAGATTTAAATAATCGAACGATTTAAACTACGAAATAACTTTTTACGTGGTTTTTTTATTTTTATGTTTTTCTCTCACAAAAAAAATTAAACAACTTTTATTATAAATGATAGACAATCAAATAAATTTAACTAATATTTGCAATTTATTGATTTTGCTGAACAACAAATTGGCCGGAATCGTGCCCTAGTATTAAATTCCATACCTACTTAATAAGGTTTAAGTTCTACAAATGAACAATCCGTATTGCATCCGAAAGCGGCAGCTTGAGACAAACTTTCTTATTTTCTCTACGTGACATCAAGATTAATCGAAATTAACAATAATTATTGTAGTTTTTAAATAAGTGATGTGAAAAATCCGGATTGACGGCCAGATTTAGACATTCATTTGAAATATAAAGACAAATGGAAAATAAAAAACAAAAAAAGTTCATTTTTCCAAAACACAAATTGGATAATATTGTGAAATCCGAAGTACCGTAAAGCTTTAAGTTCACCAAACTGATAAACTGAAAAACTTAAATTTTCGATGAAATAGTGAGATACTTATAAATTCAATTTTAAAATTTGCGTCTTTTCTGCACCAATGATTCGATTTTTCGTATAAAAAGTATAGAAGCATAAAAGTATTTTTGTATAAAAGCAGTTTAATTTTACCCGTTCTGCTTAATTCTGATATAATATCAGAGTATTATGTGTCGGTTTTAAAAATCGCCTAATAATAATATACTGTCTGGGACTCGCTTAGTATCAGAATTACCGCAAGCAAATAACGGTTTAAGCCCAGCGGATTTTCGATTATCCGTAATTTATTGTTATGGTCGTCCGAGCCGTCGAGTGGTCACTTACGATTTGTCGCGGTATGCAACACATAATACTGATAATGCGCGTATAGTAATATCAATGCACGGATTTAAATGCACCGAACATGATACCAGAAAAAACAATAATGTTCTTAAAAAAAAGTCTACAAACGTCCTTAACAAATGGAAAAAAACCAGCAAAATAGGCATAAAAAGTAAATTATTTCAAGTCGTTTTCGGGTGGTACTTGGAAATCAACATTTGAAATATATACTTTTCGACGGTTTGGGTCATTTTTAAGATCAATAATATTATTGTACTGGTCAAAAGGCCACAATTTTCGGCCGTATTTTCGTGATGTATAGTTCCCGGGTCACTGAAATCCGCGGGCGCTAACAGACGCGATAAAATCGAAGTCGACTTACCCATGAGCAACAGGAAGACGAACTGCGGAATCCCCATGATAGTGACGGCGGATTCCGGATGGTTGTCGCCCGCGCGCGATCGGCACAGAGTCACGCGCCAAACCGGGAAATATTCACTGAGAACCGGAAAATAGGGCCGACGGTTTGTTCGCGAGAGAAAAGCCGAAAAATTACAGAAACGGTGAAAACACGCGTAACACGGATTCGTATTCGTTTCCTTATCACTCGGCGGGCCGTACGGTCTCGGGACGGACGGAGCGGCGGCACTCACGAAGACACGGACGCGGACACACGCGCGACGATGTCGTTATAATAACATTACTTATTATACCTGGCCGGGGTCCGGCTACGGTCTTCGGCCGTCGAAGACCGGCTTTCGGGTCAGTGCAGACGTCCCGTACGGTAATTACCGTGCAGCGGCGGCGGCGGCGGCGGCGGCAGCGGTACCCAACCTATAAAATATTACGCCGGAGTAATCCTTTCACCGCGGCCGCACGGCAAGTGTGCCGGTCCGGTTTACGACTCCATCCATCAGTCGTCGTAGTCATCGTCGTCGGTGTCGCTGGTGGTTGGTGGCGCAAACGAATATGGAATATTATGCGCATAACAGCGTGTGTGTCCAACGAGATTTTTCTCACGGGATTGTTTCCAATAAGATTACGATTGAAAATAAAAAAAAAAGAAAAGGAAAAGCCGGATCTACTTCTCGCCGCGGATAGGCCGCCAATGCCGTAGCAGAGGTGGGGAGTTTGCAGAAAGGTGTATAGGATATAAACATACGGCAATTTGATTTGTACACCGAAAGCGACGATTAATCGCATTGCCACCAAAAACCGATCCTGAGTGGAGTAGTTATAAGTATAATATATTGTTCGTGTTTTTCGATACCCAAAATCCCAAAATCAACAAAAATAAAACCGACGCGTTCACACGTTTGTCGTCAGTTTTATACATTTCCGAAAACACCTGGTTTTTTTTTAATAATAACTGATGAATAAAAAAAATCGGCATACTTTCGTTTCGTGAGCAAATCGGATCATTTTAACTAATCAAACAAATATTTCCTGAAGAAAAAACATATATTTGTATAAGTTCTTCATATAAACTAATAATTTCTTCGTTATATAGGTACTGAAAAATAATCAAAATCTAAAATAAATAAATATAATGTGCGAGGGAAAATTTAGTTTAGAGAACATCATGAACTCCGGGGTATGTTTGCGGAGCGTCATTGATTTTCACAATGATTATTTTTTATGTTTTTTTTCCGCTGAACTACTTTTTTATTAGAATTTTGTTTCGATTTTCAAGTGTAGTGCCCTTTCTGAAAGAAATTTGGACTAGGGTGATACATTAGATCATGTTTAGATGTTCTGAGTGGTTTTCATAATAAGTGAGGAAAACAAAGAAAAAACTGGAAAATGGGAAAATTTACGAACTGTATTACTTAGGTATTTTTAAACCGTAAATACTACGGCCTTTCAAAATATATACAACCGAACTCCACTCAGGATCGTTTTTCGTTAACAATAATTAATCGTGTCGTACAGGTATACATTAAATTTCCACTCTACCTTCCCAACTTCTCACCTACAACAGTTGCTCAACCATCGTGTTTTTTTTTTATCTACACATTCGTTTATTCGATTTATGTATACATATTTGTATACTTATTTGATTTTTGATTTATGCAGATGTTTTTCTTTAAACATTTTAACAACGTCTTTGTAGGACATATAATAATATTATTTGACGAAGAAAATGAGCCTTCGATTTGTACGCGTGTTAAATTACTAACGATCTCGCGTGGCGTGGTGTTAGGTAGAAAATAATAATAATGACTGATGTGTCTTATTATTATTTGAAACGTTTTCGCTCTAAAATAAAAAAAAAAAAAAAAAAATTATAAATTACTCCATGTATCTCTGTAGAGGGCTCTCAAAAAATATCAATATTAATTTATCCGTCAATGCTAATAAAAAAAATGATGGGAATCGAATGACATGGAGAGATTTTACGTAAGGCTATATTATAAACTAGCTGACCTGGAGAACTTCGTACAGCCTCACAGTCATTGAATGTAATGATGCCTTTTAGCTAAACTTAATTTATGATTTTAATTAACGTAATAAAATGTATACAACAGATTTTATAAGTTCAATAGTTTATTAGGTAATATATACATAAAGAAAATAAAAGTTTAATAAAACTACAAAAATCAAGTATTTCAATAGCGCGTCGGCAAGACATTTCCTTTGATGAAGCTATGTATTTTGCTGCACGCGTTACACTTGGTTTGCCGACACGTGAACATGCCACGTGCAATTGACCATGAGAAAAACATGATTTTTTTTAAATTCAGACCACACACCCTCAAGGATTGTCCTTGCGATTTATTAATCGTCATGGCGAATGCAAGACGAATGGGAAATTGAATTCGTTTTAACTCAAAGGGAATATCGGTTGGAATCATCGGAATCTTCGGAATGAGAAATTCTTCACCTTTGAATTTCCCTTTGAGTATCGTCGCGTGAATCACATTAGTCATCAGTTTCCTTATCACTAAACGCGTTCCATTTCATAGTTTCGGCCCCCGTAGAATCATGTACCCGCCTGGGGTTATCACTTGAATATAACACAATAACCATTTCTAGTGTAGTTTGTTTATATAAAACGCAAGCGTAGGTAGGTATGTTATAGTAATTGGGTAAAGTATCTTAAGGCACTGTACGCGTAATACATATACTTATATACCCATACTACGAGTATAATAATTGCTTTACTACAAATGTCAACCTACCTACTTGATTTCATTTGCGACCCACTGCTGCATATTATAACACGTCACGCATCGTCGGGTTTTATTAAATTTGTTCGGGTGGAAATTTGATTATACACATATACGCGAAGTAATAATATATTCGATTTGTTATGACCCCTGTGAATAATTTGATCAATCGTAAATAATAGTGTACGTTATGCGATGGTATACGTACCCGCCTAAAATAAATTATAATATAATATTCTACAGTACAGATTGAAAATTAAGTGAAATCAACTCGTCAGCTTTCGGAGCTTTCTATTCTCTATTACTCATTTATAATTATCTAAATATATTACCGAAACATGTTTCATTACGTATGGTATACACAAGGCGCGCACATAATTATTATACGTGTTATTGTATTATTATATTCGTACAGCCGTAGTTATAACCAGGGCTTGGATTTTATACCATTTGAATAGTTCTCACGTATGTGTCACGATGTCACCAAATAAACCTAAAATCGTTGAATAAGACGGCCGGAGGACGATTTCTGATTAAAAAGTGCACTTTTATAGGCAGAAAAAAATAATGCAATCGTCGTATAATAAAATATAACTATACATATATAGGTATAGCATATTATAGTGCATTCCTCGCTGCACTCAAAATCTAAAACACACATACCACGTGTACTTGAAGTCAATAGTGTGTATTAGCATAATTTGTATTTAGTTAAACTTGCATAAAAACGCACGTTGTAATACGCATTATCTCAATGCATTTTTAAAAGTTTATTCGATTTGCCAAACTGAATTGGCTTTAACTCTGGTATTAGGACATTCACGTAAACGGTAAATGGATGAATATTTTTTACATGAATCAAATATCAAATTATATAATTTACCCAATATACCGACTGACTGATTAATCATCGGCTAGTCCAAACCACTGGACGGATTGGGCTGAAATTTGGCCTACAGAAAACTTATGACGTAAGCATCCGTTAAAAAAGGATATTTTTTGAAAATTAAACTTTTTAAGTGGTAAAATAGAAGATTTTAGGTATTTTCAGTACAATACATCTAATTATTTATTTGTTAACTTTTGTTTATTCATGGGTTACCTTGGTAACTTGGATGACAATTTGGTTATCGCGGACAAAAAACTATTATATACTTTATTATTTAGCAATAGCAAAGCATTGCCGGGTCACCTAGTATATACAGGCTGTCCTACCCCTTGAATATCCCCGGATATAATAAAAATAATCACATTCTGTTTTTTTTTTTTTAGTCAGAAAAATTAATTAATTTTATTATTTTCAGAAAATTGTATGATAGTCATCAATCTGTAGAATTTATTTTTGTAAAAATTTTAACGTATCGCACATTTATATCCGATGAATAGTTTCTAAGTTACAACCGTTTTAAATTTTCAGAAAAATAAACTCTACAGAACGGTGGCTATCTTAACATTTTCCGAAAATAATAAAACAAAGTTATTTTTTGACTAAAAAAAAAAAAAAAAAAAAAACAGAATTTGATTATCTTTATTATCTCCGGTGATATTCAAGTGGTATATCTCCGTGGGACAGTTTTTATATGTATATTTATAATGTATTAGTATTATTTATTATAATGCGTATAGTTTATTTTGGATTCGAATCCTAATAATATTATGGATTTATTTTAATACGCATTAACTGAGGTCACTTGCTGCGCACTAGCGAATCGAAAGAACCGCGATAGCAGAAGTATATTGTGCCGTTTCTGCGCAGTTGCAAGACCGAAGTGTGTAGTATTTATTAATAGCATATTATGTCGTATAGGTATGTAGGTATGAACGGTTCTAACACAATAATAAAATACGTTTCTACCGGGAGCAAAACAGTCGGGAATTTTTCATAAAATTTACCGCGCATCCTAGCCGTAAAGGTATGGTACGATGGTACGATTATTAAAACGTAGACGGTACAACTACTGTACATCACATATACGGACACGAGACACCGTGCATTTCACGACACCGTATTACAATATACACACTGCGTACGTCACTGCCGCATCGTTACTATTATTGTGTGGGGTACACTATAGTGTGGCGCAAATTACACGAATATTATTCGTATTGATCTAACCGCAAGATGTGCAGTACTCTATGTGTCGTTATGTATACACACGTATATAGGCGTACAGCAGTGGCAGTTGCATATAATATGTCACGAGCGGTTCAATTTATCATCTCCAGAATAATATACGACGTCCTATACACATATAGATAATATACGTGTATTAATGATGATAATAATAATATCAACGTGGGTTACTGTAGAATGTATAGGTAGGTATACCTAACACGAGTCTCGTGTAGAAAAACCGTCGTCACGTCCCGGCGTCTGAATCGAGTAGGGCGCGCGGTAAATTAAAAATCAATAAAACCGAATATTACAATATCATACACACGCGCCGGGCTATGTTAATGTCCGAATCCGAATCGCGTTGAAATTTCAAAGACTATAGTGGGTGTATAGT